ATTCTTCAGCTTCATTAGCTCCGCTAGCGTATCCCGTTAGCGCAGGCGAGGTTACTATACCATTTTATATTTCATACAAAAAAAAAGCCCTATATTCAGCCGGGAAAAGATTATATATATATATATATATATATATATATATATATAAAGGCAAGAGTAAAGATGTTATTCTAGAATTGTGTCAATGGTTTTTCTAGCATAATAGCAGGTATTTTCTGTTCATATTCTCTATTTCATGGCAGCTGTCGTCTTCATTTTATGTATTTCTTAAATCATCTTCTTTTATATTACATAAATAATATTTCAGCGACAGGTTTTAAGGATTATTAAAATGTGTAAAAATAAAACATAGGAAAATTTTAATAATACTTAATATTATGAATATGAATGTTTGTATTTAGATGTTTTTAACTAAAAAGATTTAAATAAAATTCGCTTGTATACAGCATTCCTGAGCCCGTCACCGCTTCGCATTAAGTAACATATACGAACGTATAATGTACTTCTATATGACAATATTATTAAAAGATATGCTTATCTTTTTATGGTAATATACCTAATAATGTATATAATAAGTGGTTGTTATTAAACGGTCCACGTTGTTTCTGAGAAGCGCAGCGCAGGCATTTCCTCAAAAAATCTGCGGGTGTTACTAAGTACGTGTCCGGGTATTTTCGTAAATGTACCGAATATGTAGGTGGCTTTACGACACGACGCGCTGTCGCCTCAGGGTTTTCAATAATAAAATTGATTCTCATGCCGTGACACACGAATCTTTATTTTACTTCTCACGATTCTTTTATTTACTCGCGGAAAAACAAGTCGTAAACGAACCTCGCACAAGCAGTCAAGAAATTTATTAGTCATAGTAACATTTAATTGATATTATAATACAGTGTTTTTTTTTTTTAATTTAAACAAGTTTTATAAAAAAATATACAACTTAAACCGGATTTACATTGAATATGCCGCCGTACAGTTCCGTGGCCACCTCGAAGATAAGGTGAAGCTGGCATCCAAAAAACTCGGTGTGCTCAATAGAGCGAAGCATTACTTCACGCCGGATCAGCGATTAATGCTTTACAAATCGCAAATCCGGCCCCATATGGAGTATTGCTGTCACTTATGGGCGGGAGCACCTAGATACCAGCTTGAACCCTTCGACTCAGTGCAACGACGAGCTATGAGAATTGTCGATGATCCCATGCTTGCAAGCGGTATCGAACCCTTAAGTCTTAGGAGAGATTTTGCCTCACTCTGCGTGTTCTACCGCTTATACAACGGATTGTGCTCAGAGGAATTATTCAATATGATGCCTACGGCCACTTTCTATCATCGTACGGCTCGCCATCCGCAGGGAGTTCACCCTCATACCTTACAGCCTAAATGGTCGCGTACAACGCGGTTTCAGAAATGCTTTCTCCCACGAACACTCAGGTTATGGAATGAGCTCCCTGCCGAGGTTTTCCCAAGAGACTACAGCATGGGGTTCTTCAAAAGGGGGGTAAAGAGGTTTCTTCAGGGTCGGCAACGCGCGCGTAATACCTCTGGTATTGCAGGCGTTCATAGGCTACGGTGACCGCTTACCATCAGGTGGGCCGTATGCTTGTTTGCCACCTCAGTGGTATAAAAAAAAAATATGTAATTTATCATGAAAATGAACGTTTATATAGTTCAATAAATGTAGTATTTTAATACATGCCACGACAAACCGTTTCCTCCAAAATACTAAATGTATGGCGTAATTTGAAATTGCCGCTTATACTCATATTTTGATGAAGTCAGTGTGTACTCTACGAAAATTCATTGATGTTGTAATCTCTCAACATTAGTCTACAGTAGTCCATTGTTGTACACAACCTATTCTCAAAGTGCACATCATTCTATGGATCTGGGAGGTTAAAAAACCCTATTATGTGACAACCCGTCGATGTAAATGTAACCTACTAGTTTGTTAATATTATGTCCTCAGCAAAATAGGTCTATTGAATTCTATAGTTTTACAAGTAAATTTTATTATGATTCATTTATGCTCCACATATTTAATAATTCTTACCATTTTTGTCACACACTGTCCCTGTCATAGGGGCACGCCGTCATCGCTTCTACGGCAGTTGTGATCAGCCCCCGTTATTACTTTAGCGTGCTGATCCTATGGGTTATAACAGTCGCTTTGTTTTGAATCCGATTTTTCTGAGAAACTTCAAGAATAGACTTTTGCACGGTTCACTGAAGAATCAGTTTGTGAGCGAGTTCTATCGTCAGTGTCGTTTGATATCATTAAGGGAATTGTGCATGAAATGTACGTAAAAATAAATCTACTATTTATACGACATTTTTTGGCAAAAATATTGTTACGCAACACAGTATCATCAGTTATATTCCTCCTTAAACAAATATATACTGTAACCATTATTAATAAATTAATGTATTGATGTTTCAAATCTTGGATAAACTGTTCATGTAATAAGTAAACGCTCTTTATGTGCTCCTAAGATACCAAAAAGAAAAGATGATAATTTATTGTACAATATGGCATAATAATTTAGGTAACCGTCTATCCACTATGGAAATATACTACTACAGGAAATATTATCCGCCAGTGCTTTGCAAATACGGATAATGTTTTTCTCTAGTGCGTACGCAGACTGTTTTCTAGGTTAACAGGTTTTCTGTGAGCGATGAAAGATAAACACACATTTTAAATAATCTACTTACGTAGAATGTCTGTAATGAAAAATTGATGTATCAAAAAAAATATTAAAATTTTCATAAAACTATGGAAATCAGTACTATGCTCAAAGTACCGCGTCCAGTCATTAGCCACCTTCCAGAACCTAATTAAATTCCATTAGCTGTCATTATAAATTATTTTTTTTTTCTCTCTTGTCTTGTCTTTGTCCTCCATACCTACTTGTCTCGTTATTGTATGTGAAATATTGATACATATGATTAATGTATATATTTATATATATGAATAATGTTACAATATGTATTTATCTAGAATTATGCTATTTATTTTATATATTTATTATAGATTTATTTATTTTTTATGTATTATTGTAAATATTTAGGTGTATGTATGGTATTCATATATCATTTGCGTATGTTTCTTTAACATAGCGTTGTTTTTTTTTTATTGCATATACTTATTACCAGAAAGCCATCGTCTTTTCCTTATCTCTTCTATCCAAAAGTTGTCTGAAAGAGATTGCTTTAGTGATAAGATTGCCGTTTATACTTCATATGTGTAATATATACTGTTTTGTATTATTCTTTAAGTGGTGCAATAAAGAGTAAATAAACAGTCAAAGCTACAATTAAATAAGTAGAAATTTAAAGTTAAGAATATTAATTATCCACGATTTTCTTTTTAAAAGGGTAGCTTTTTAGGTACACCGTTAGTATAATAGGGTATCTTTGACGTAATGTAATTAGGATCAAATCGACATTATATCGAATAAACGTTAAATAGACGTCACAATTATTCCAGCTGCGTCAAGTCTTACCACTGTTGAATAAATAGGATAGACCCACCTACTTATTTGCGTTACAAATACATAGTAAAAACGCAAGGGACGTCAACACCTTTATAAATAAACCCACTTGTGCTATGCGTAAACTAAGTATTCCTAAATGCCTAAATAAAATTTATTTTATAAATACATTATGTTATTTTACTTTCTCGTATCTTCAATTGGAAAGCGATATGTGACGCTCGTGTGAAGTTAACATCGAACGTGCACCGAATGTTCAAACTATAGTAGCTTACTAATAAACGACACACCTAACATGTTAGTAGAGGAAGGGTACAGTGAGATTTCCATGTGCTGAGTTTCTATCCCTTTCACTCGGCCTAACTATAGGGATAAGGCCTCTGTCGTAGTGAAGTCGATGGTCGACAACGATGCGAATAGGCACCTCTCCCTGACTGCTTATTAGCATTCGACTGGCATATAGAATAAATCGCATGGTCCCAGTTGGCGAGAAAACGGCATTCTCTGTCAGCTTATAAACAAACGTAAGGCAGACAATGATAAGTATCTGTAATGCAATAGTACGCACATATTGAGTCAACTATACGTGAAGCTAATTACCCGACTTTGAAATGACCCTATTGAGGTGTTTCCCCAGATTGTCTCGAGACATACGATTTGGTACGTTAGGTTATTATTTACATTGAATAGAATAGACTTGTTTACGATCTCTTTTAAATAGCCATTTTTTGAGTCTCTGAATTTGGAATATTGTTATCAGTTGATCAGAACCCGCAAGAACTCATCAGTTACTCTTTTCAATTTGCTTATCAGGCAAATTCCTATAATACTAAGTTTAGTTACTGCCAAAGATATCCGTTAATTAGGTGATAAGTATGTGATAAAGATCACAAGACGTCAATGTTGTAAGTCACGCATAACTTCTAATGGGTACGGAATGTAGGTACATTAATACTAAGTACATGGTAATGCATGTCGCTGCCACTAACCAGCTGTGCTGGAAAGATTGTGTCAGTTTGAAGGATGGGATATAACAGTGAAATTACAGGGAACGGAGGCGTAACGTCTTGGTTTTCAAAAATGGCAACTCATGTAGCACCATGGACGTCACAGTGTATTTTACGATATGCATGGTGTTATTTATATACCCATAACTAACGTTTTTTTAATGGATAAAGATAAAATGGTAACCCCGCCTTTAAGTGAGAGAGGATAGGTGAGGATGAAAAGGCAGGTCAGTTAAAATTCACTTGGAATTGAGCACGGTGGTTTCCGGAGGTAACCGCGAGGAGGTCAATGACAATTGTATTGTTAGCAATGCGGCTACTAATCTCCATTCTTAACAATCCCTTCGTCCCCCTATAACCGACATTTTCCGCTTTCCATTAGGTGGGCCGTCAGGTTGTTTGCTATTTTCATATAGTATAAAAATAAGTATAGCTAAATCTATTGCATTAATTGGGATTAAATAATTTATATTGATCGTGTATATGATTGTTTCAGTCAAGATGGTGGTGGGCGAGAGCAAGCGCACCGCCAACATCATGGACGGCATTGAGAACACCGGTGACGTGCGGATGCACGACCACCGACTGAGGCTCAAACAAAGGTATTGAATTAATATATACCTATTTATATATAAAGTATTTTATTACTCTATACTCTGCATATAGTTAAGTGTCGAAAAAGGTATATTCGTACGTAATTTGCGATTTAAAATCAGTAGAAATTATTACTTGTTATTAAGTATATACTAGAAGATTAGAATTCATTTGCGCTCTGTCTATTTGAAATTTCAAATTATTGTTACTCATTCTGTTAGGCCTTATTCTGATATGCATTAAAATGCTGTAATAACCATATAATATTATAAAAAGGAAATATTTTATTGTTTGTTCGTAATAGTTAAGCTCAAAAACTATTTAACTGAATTAAAAAATTCTTTCACTTACAGAAAGCTACGTTATTAACAAATAACTTAGGCTATATATTATTTTCAAAAATTCTATCAATCCCTGCGAAGCCAAGCTGGATCACTGGGGATCATTAGTAAAATTTATATAAGCATAGTCCATCGCAATAACGTTTATCAAGTCTCTATTCTATCTCTATCATTCTCGTTCTTCTTATTTCAAAGAATATTATAGTACAATACGTATTTCTTTTTATATTAAAAAAAATAGGGACTATTGTAATCCTGGATAAAGTAGATAGTGGCATTTTGATGATTGATATCGTTGATCGAATGTTTAATTTTCCTTTTTAAAGAAACACGACTGTTGCTTTCGTCTTAAATTAGAATAGGTACTCTGTATTATTTTGGACTTTGTAGTTGTATATGACAAAATAAGCAACACAGATCTGCAGGTACAGCCTAAAATCCAGAGTACAAACTACCAAAGAAAAAGTCATAAGCTATTAAATATACAGTTAAAGCTAAACAATAAAATAAATCATTATTAAATATATGGAATCAGTCGGTAGGTCGGTATAAGTATCGCTCGTTTAAAAGTATGGCGCATAAGTCAGCCATAGTTGTATGAGTATTTAACCAAATATATATAAATAAAAACATATTTTCTGAACTAATTTATCTAAGCTCTATACTTACAATAAAATACATTGATCATATTTATTTGAGTACAATATGTACACCAGATCATGTTCAATAACGACGTTTTTTTTTTACCAGCGAAATTTATTTTATTTATAGCTCACCAGCTTAAAGTCAACAAACTTTTTGGTGTAGGAGCGTATTGATCTCACGAATTCAGTCATGTAATTAACAAACTCCACAAAACCACAATGCTATAATAAACCGGTCAAGAGCGTGTCAGACACGACGCGTTATTTTATATTATACTGTGATACAGTGGTACCTTACCTAATTATATAAAAGTTTTATCTGAATATTAAATTTCGACGAGTTAAATAATACAGGGATATATCTGGATCTGTTTAATTAATAATAAAGTAAATTTTGCAACTAAATTGATATGAGTTTAAGGTTTGCTTAACATTTTGGGATCTTAAAAGAAGAACCTTTTAATTCATTACTTTTAATAAATAGGTACTATTAGTTTCGAATAATATTTATTATATAAAACACCTTTTAATGTAAATTTATATATCATTTAGATATGTCAGTTAAATGCGATTGTAAACCGTAAAAACCAGGGATTAACCATGTATGAACCCGTAGACAATATACGTCACGTTTATAAAAAAAAAAAAACTGTTGTATTATTCTATATATAATAATTTGAAATGTATTACCAAATATACTGAAATATGACGATTTGATATATATATAAACAGACCAATAATATTTTTTTGAGAGTTTGTTACATACAAATCTTTAAATGTAATATTCATTAAAGTTTTTTTTTTTTTTTTGAGAAAAATTTTGTCAGGGCACGGGGCCTTCAATCAATAGACAGTTGCCTACACTGCCTAATACAGTATTCGGCCCTCATAAATAAAGAAAAAAAAAGTGTTGTATAATTTAAAATTCGAATTTTGAAAATGATCTTTAATTAATTAATATAATTGTGAAGAACATTAGAAAATGGAATTAATTCATATAACTACTTATATTTACATAAAAGTATTAAACTTTATACACACCATGGTCCATGACGTCAGAGTCAGATTGCAGGGTGTCAAATTGTTCACCCACGGTGTTTCGAAATCCGTAGGTGTAAAGGCCAATAGTTACGTCAGTTTTGATCAAGTTGAAATTATGGCGGTTTATATTTTTTTTTCTAGTTGCTATTAAAAATATACTTCATGTTCCATTAAGTTGAAACAAGAGGCGTACTGAATTAAATGGACACCCTCCCTATACACACCAACGATGTAATATTGTTGTCGTTAAATCAATAAAAGTTTGTTAAATTTAGACTGAAAAGGTCGTGTGACCTTTTCTTGAGACAAGACTTGTTTAACCTGGAAAGTATACCTATAATCTGTTTTCTTTTTTTATTCAGTACATTTATTAAACAATTTTGGCACGTCTTTTTATTGTAAAAGTGGTTGTTATTCAATAATAAATCGCAAAAGTAGGTAATAATATATGTATAATAATATATTTAGTTATGCACTTCGACGATTAAGAGCTGATTCAAATGTGAACACTGTCCTCACAGCTTATCACGGCTATGTAGGTTCTATACTTAGATGTGACATTTTATTAACGGGGTAACTACACGTTTATTAACAAAATACTTATTCCACAAAAAAAAATGTATACGAGCAATTTTTAATATACAGCCTAGGGAATCGTGTTGACAATATTTCAAGTAAAACAAAATACTTATGGTGACATCTATGTACATTATTGAAATTGCACTTTTTTTTAGAAAACAACCAGTTTTTTACAGAAGTTGTGGAACACTAAATTTGGGAGTAGAGATCCCACTAAATTAGTTGTACCGAAATGTAAAATTTCTCTATATCAAAAGAACTGCTATTTTATGTCTATTAAAATTTATAATAAAATTCCCCAGCATTTAAAAAAATTGCCTACTAATTACTTTAAATTCCAATTACAAAATGGTATATAATTGTGTTCCGAAAAAAACCAAATTCAATTGTGACAAAACCACAAATTTTGGTATTAAAATTAAATTACTGAACCGATTTTTATAAAATTTATATAGTACCAATTTATAAGCATATCCTTTTATATAAAAAGAATTTTCCATATTTCCATTTTTAGGCAATAAACATGAAAAAAAAAATACTATCAAAAATAATGATAACCTATTTTTTGTAATTCGATTGAATAACAAATAGACGTGATAGTGTTATAAAAACCGGTCTGTTTATTCTAAAGTTAAATAATTATCATAGGTTTTTCAATAGTTTACTCTTGTCATGTCATGTACTCTCACAATTTAAGGCCTGCGCCGATGTGGAAGGGTTTTTAGTTTACTTAGTCCTCCAAGTTTCTCCTGTCCTCCGCTGGAGACTTATTAATGAACTCTGCGGTTTATGCAACGTTTTCTATTTCGACAGGCATAGTGGTATGTTAAGAACTTACTTGTCAACTCAAGTTCGAAGACAAATTTATCGACACTTATATATATTTACGGTTAATAATTATAATCTATCAGGTCGTTTAGATAAAACGAATCAAATGTGCGAACGTAACTGCTTACTCGAAATACGTTGCTAGTCAGTTAATTTTATTATAGCACAACGGTAGCAAACAAGTGTACAGTCCTTCTGATGGTAAACGGTTACCGTAGCCTATGGATGCCAATAATATTAATATAAGGTCGATACGTACCCACATAGAATAGAAGTGCTAAACATTCAATTTTAAATGCCGCTTATAATTTGTAGAAGGCAAGCATTGCGCGGTGAATGCCTCGGTTCAGCACGAGGTCGTTTCATTCAAATGCTTCTACTCATTTATATTATACGAACACAATCCCTATAATCGTTTTCAAAGTTGCACCACGACGTGCGTGGGCAGCGATTGATGTCTTGTGGTTGTACAAATTATGAGAAGAATAGATAAATATTATAATATGTACTTTAATTTTATTTGCAAAGGTGTTAGTAAAATAATTTTCGACTGTAAATACTTTTTATAGAAGAAAGCTATTATAGTATCCAGTGCTACAGAATTATACTATTAGATTGGTTCTCAAAAAAGGTACAAATAAGAGCACATATGTATTAGTTATGAGAAGCCGTACAATAAATATTTGGGAACTCAACCCAAAACATGTAGAGAATCCCAATTCAGTTTTATTCTAATTGAAAATCGAAACCGGGATCTCATATAGAAATTCCGAGGGTCGCTAGTCTGATAGGTATATTTTTGTAAATTTATTATATGTCTAATATCAGCAGATATTTGTGTCTTTGACCTATTTATGTCACTCTGTCATTATTTATCTCTGACATAATTTTATATTATATGTGACCGATAAACATTATAATTTATTTTAATATCAGTGCGACAACTTTATCAGCCCTACCGCAATAAATGTGTAACCGTGACGCATTGATTTGCTTTATCAGTTAAATTATCGACGCTAATCAGAAGAACAAATTGAGGTGTTACAGACACAATGAACGCGACCATTAGTTTAATCAACATGTTCCATACGTCTTTTGTCTCGCCTGTTTTATGTAGTTTAGATGAATAAAACATTTTGACAATGAATATTATTTACATAAACATGACCACTGTCTAACATTATGAACGCTATTATTCAATTAGTGCTAAGATATTTTTAGATGTTATCTGTCATAATTACAATATGTATCGAATCTTTGATAGTATTAATTACGTGTACAATTACTTTATTTAATATAAGGTATATTGTATTTTATATTATGGAAAGAAAGGTTCTTGAGTGGCGTCCCTGTACAGGCAAACGTAGTGTACGAAAATCCCCCATTAGATGGAGTGACGATCTCAAATGCATTGCAGGGAGTTAGTAGATGCAATGAATATAAGTCAGCGGATGCAAGTACATCAAAAATATTTATTATGGTACTCTATGGGGGAGGCATATGTTCATCAGTGGACAAATAATGGCTAATGGATAACGAAATGATGATGATATTGTATTTTATACATGCAACTTAGATTTTTTTTATATAAATCATACTATGTCGAAGAAATAAAAACACTTGCAACAGATTTATTTCAGCTCAACAAATATAATGATAAATGCTGTAATTTTTATACCTAGGTTTTCTCTTCGTGTAGTTAAATATATTTTAATAATTTATTTAGTGGTAACATTGCTTTCGTTATATTCTTCCAGATTTGACATAGTAAGAAAATTAGGACAAGGCACATACGGTAAGGTACAACTCGGTATTAATAAGAAGACTGGACAAGAAGTGGCCATAAAGACAATCAAAAAGTGCAAGATCGAGTCGGAAGCCGACCTGATACGCATCAGACGGGAAGTTCAAATTATGTCCTCCGTCAGGCATCCTAATATTGTACATATATATGAAGGTAAAGATTATTGTGATATTTTTCTTTTTATTTTTTTAAATAGTTAAAGTTGTGTTTATTTATCTTTTAAATATATATTGCTTACAATTGGATTATTTTTACTTAGTCGTTAAGGAAAGGCGGCTTATTAAGGAATAAGCAAATAAAACTAAAGAATAATAAATAAGTGCAACTATTTTTATACTAAGTCGTATATATATTTTTATTCTTGGCATATTTAGAAAACAATTGTGATATATCTTACTATTGAAATAACAGGCATGAAAATAATAAATAGCTGAAATAAAAATAATTTAATATTAATCGATTATATTATAAATTAGTCCGTTTTATTTTTAAATGACGATAGTCATGGTATATTTAATAAACAAATATTTATTAAATGTACAAGGTATTATGAAACATATTATATAATTTGTACACATGACTGGATTAACCTTCCGCGATTATTATTAGATATTTTATGTTGTTTTTCATATTCACGCAACATTTTTATAGTCTTTTAAATCTTGTGATTATCTGTATTTGATTCAGACTATATATATATATATATATATATATATATATATATATATATATATATATATTTTTTTTTTTTTATGTCTTTATATTTATATATATATAAAAATATATATATATATATATATATATATTAATACTAAATACATTAAAATTATTTAGATTGTATTAAAACCATGCAAGAAGTATCGTTTTAATTTACACTTGATGTTGCTAATAGTAATATTATCTCGTACATCGGTGGGTAGTTCATTAATAAATCGAGGAACCAGGTAGTCAGCCGTACGCTCACCATAACAGTTATTTACGCGAGCGCTATTGGTACAAAGTTGCTTCCGTGCGACCGCCCTCGTATATACAGCATGATTAATTTCGTTCCAATATTTATTGTTAAAAAAGTTTTCCTTAAGAAATGTGTATTTAAATTGTAGATGTACAGGTAAAATATTGCAATGTCGAAAAAGACCAGTATCATCGTCATAATACTGCATCTTAATTTTGGGAGATACAATAGTTCTTAAAATTCTACGTTGAAGTTTAAAAATATCATTTAAATATGTTTTATAAGTGCGGCCATAACTTGACAACCCATATTGAACATAAGATTCGACCAATGAATTATACAGCATCAGTTTTACTTTAAAGGGAATTCGGTGTCTAAGGATGACTATATTAGCTAAAAATTGTCTTAATTTGTTACAAATTTTTTCGATGTGTTTACTCCAATTAAACTTACTATCCATAGTTAAGCCAAGATATGTTTGGCTGTCCTTGACCGTTATAGCGGGGCAGCTGCAAAAGTTCCTTTCATTAGTTATATGTAGACACTTGTGGTTGTGAGCAATGATAGGTTTATATAGAGGACGAAATTTTAAATAGGGTGATTTTATGATCAAAAGTTGTGTTTTAATTGGATTTAATACCAATCCGGCATCATGACACCATTCAAGAAGGACATTGACATCAGATTGTAGAAGGTCTCGTGCTTTTTGAATATTTTTGTCAGACAATACTAGACACGTATCATCTGCAAATTGGTAACATGAACTGTGTTTCAAGATATTATGCATATTATTAACATAAGACAAAAAATGTAGCGGACCTAATACAGATCCTTGTGCCGTACCTTCAGTTACTGGTACATGATCACTGTATACATCATCTATTTTAACGGTGAATTTACGATTTTGTAAATAGTTCTTGCACCAGTTGAGTAAAGGCCCACGTACACCAGACTCATCAAGTTTAGTAATTATTTGTGCATGTTTTAGGGTATCAAAAGCACGGGAAAAGTCTATGAATAAAGCCAACACGTATTGTTTTTTATTGAGATGTTCATTAATCTCATCTGTAAATTTAGATAACAGCTGACTAGTACTTTTACCCGATTGAAAACCAAATTGATTTTGGTAAATTACATCTTGCTTACGATAAAATTTATGAATTTGTTCGCAAACATATTTTTCAACTATTTTGTCTATTGTAGAAAGTAAGGTAATGGGACGATAGTCTAAATAATTATTTCTTAACCCTTTCTTAAATACCGGTCTAACACAACCAATCTTTAGTTCATCGGGATATACGCCAGTTTTAACACTAGAATTTATGAGGTTAGCAATAGCTACCGATACCGCCTTACTAACTATTTTAATATCTGACACTTTAATGTTATCAAGACCTGGAGCTTTTCTATAGTCTAATTTATCGATAATTTTATTTATTTTTTCACTTGAAGCTTTTTGATAATAAATGCTGCAGTTAGTTTGTTTACTATAGCTTCCTGGATCTAAAAGTCTGACAGTACATTTCGGAGTGATATTCTTCACTGCATTATCAAAGTTAGTGGCAAAATTGATGGCGATATCTTTATTACTTAATCCTTGTGCATCGAATGCTCTAAGTATCGCTTCATCTATTGATAACGTTACACGGCCTAACATTCTGTTTAGGATTTCGTAAACTTTTTTTGTGTTTTTAAAGTTATTCTGTATTTGTTGAATATAAAAGGAATTTCTTTTTATTTCTATTATTTTATGTGCTTTATTACGAGTTTTATTATATTCTAATCTTATCTTAGGATCATTTAAGCTATTTTTCCAAGATCTAAATAATTTATCACGCTTTTGGCACAATTTTGTTACATTTTTGTCTATCCAAGGTAGTTTTAATCCTTTATTATTTTCTTGCCGAACAGCTTTCATAGAAGTTGCTACTTTATTAGCATTATTAAAAGAGCTATTAATGAATTTAAAGATTTTGTTAGGGCAGTACATATTTGAAGTTAGGAACCAGTTAACTTTTTTCAGTTCCTCGCAAAGAATATCATAATTTATAATTGGTTTAATAACGCGCTGTATATACTTGGGTTGGTTATAGTCGATGCACGCGAATACAATAGCGCGGTGATCGGCTAGTACGACATCTAGCACCGCAGAATACGGGTGCATGGTTGGAAACCGCGCAAAAATATGGTCAATACATGATTTGGTCATAACATTCATTCTTGTTTCGATTCTACTATAATCAGTTATTCCACACATTAAACCATGTTTACTAATGACTCTAAATATATATCTCTAAATGGTAAACTGGATTTGAGGTCTATGTTTGTATCACCAATTAAAAGAAGATTTTGTTTCGAATCAAACGACGTTAAGTGACTATCTAGTTCCTTCACAAAAATGTTTTTATTTGTAGATGGTGGCCTATAGACAGCACACACAACTACGTCATGTCTACAATCTATTTTTATAATACCTGACAAGCATTCAAATGTTTTTGTTTTGTGTTGTAATGCTGTAAACTTAATATAATTTTTGACATACAATATAATACCTCCTCCTCGTTTATTTATGCGTAAATTTGAATACATATTATAGCCAGGTATATTATATAAATGACAAATATTTTCTGAGATACCAGCCTCGGTAATAACAATAATATCCAAGGGAAATCGACTACTGGGAATTACTTGTAGCAATTTAGAGAAATTTCTAGTCATACTTCGTATATTTATGTGCATACTAGATATTTTTAATGAATTTTGACAAGGTATTTGTAGGAAGAAATCATTAATGGAGTTACAATTATATATTTCATTAATTTGTGTATCCATTTTTTTTTTCTTTAGTACTATTCACAATAAATATGTATTTATATTATTTTGTATGTAAAATACGTATGTGGATTTAAGTAATAACAATAACAATAAGAAGAAACAAAGGAAACTTTTAGAACAAGTGGGTAGGCAGGTAAATACGTAGTTTTATTAAACCTGAGATAGTTGATTGATGTCCTGTGATGAGCGAATATAATAGATTTTACTGTTGCTGTTTTTTCTTGCGCACACATTACCATCCTTACACCATATGAATTGAAATGACTTGCTAAGTTGTATTTTAGAGTTGTATAGAATACTCTTGACATGTTTTGTTAAAGCTTCTCTGATATAAATACGGTTTTCTGCTTTATCCTTGACCACATCTGGTATACCTGTCCAACAGTAATAGCTTCTATCCAATGTTTACATACAGATTTTGTCTTCATTTCCATACGAATTACACAAGGTTTGTCCTTAGAACTAGGTAAACGTTGCGTTGATTGAATGTCATTCTCATCCAATTCCAATTTTACAACTACCCTGCTCAATACGTCCTTCAAGTCTCCTTGGGAAATATCTGGTATTCCTGCTATTTCCAAAGTTGTTGACAAGGATTTTTGTTCAAATGTATTGATTCCTTGTTCAAGAACTGTCACTCTCAGCTCCAAGTTTTTGTTTTTGTTTAATAAATCCTCATTTTTGTGTTATTTCTTATGATATTATCCTGCTTTTTTATTGACTGCTCCATAGACCTCATTTGGTCACTCAAAAACTCGAGGGACGATTGGAGGTTACTTACCTCTTCTCGAAGGCTTTTTTTGAGCTCTTTATGATGTCCTGTACGAGTTTTATATCGATGGTGTGGGATGCAGTCGGGAAACCAAGCATAGACTCATCATCGTCCCCATCATCATCGGGTATCAAATATGATGACCTTCGAGATGCGTTTTTTAAACAATCCTCACAGCTCCATTCGATGCCAGTAGTATTTCGTAGCGTATTCAATTGTTTATTAGATAATTTAGCACACGCTGGATCAGCATGTACTACTTTATCACACCTGCTACACTCCAATCCAGGCATTTTTTTAGTAATATTCTTCTTGCACACATCACATTTCTTCAACACCATATTGAGGGTAGATATTAAAATTATATATATATATATATATATATATATATATATATATCTTATTTTTATTAATTACTACACTCTGTCATTTATTGTTAATTTTATCTCTGCCATTTATTATTTTTTTTTAATTATGATAATAATAATAATTAAATGTGATTCCTAAATAGACTTACGTAGTAGAATAACTATTGTAACCATTATTTTACAAATAGGATTGTAAATCAATGATCGTAACGCATAGTAAATAATTTGAATTTTGTTTTTGTCTAACAATCTGCGTTTCGAACAAGCGGCCCCAAACATATTCCCAATATAAACACGTTAACATCATACATAATGAGGAAAATCTATACGATCGCCTATAAAACATTACATTTGCATACGTGTGTTATGCTCGTGTTATAGATTTATATTTTTTAATTAATTCATGTGTTAAAAAAGCGGCATATGATAAAAAGTTAATCCATTATGCCTTGTCTGATTATTTAAATCAGACGGGGCATAAAATGGATTATCTACGCTCTTACGCTTACACAAATTATCTAATAGATATTTTTACGGTTCATGACTCCGTATAGTTTGTTAATTTCCTCGCATAAATACCCTTCCACCGAAGCATAAAAGGTCGACAGGATACTTTGAACCTAATTAATTTTAATTAAAATATTTACTACACTATTTCAGTATTCGAAAACAGCGAGAAAATGATACTAGTAATGGAATATTGTTCCGGCGGTGAATTGTATGATTATCTTAGTCAGAAAAAAGTATTACAAGAGGATGAAGCTAGAAGGTCAGAATCGTGAGATGTTATTACATTGGATTTTCTATGGCTGGATAGCATTTGTATTAATAAAAGCAGCTTTATTTCAGGTTATTTAGACAGATCGCAACCGCTGTGTATTATTGCCATATACATAAAATTTGCCATAGGGATTTAAAATTGGAAAATGTATTACTCGACGACACTGGTAGTGCGAAGGTTAGTGATGTTATTTTTTCTTTTAATTTCTTCGTAAATACATATAATATAAATGTATATACTAATCTAGTTAATAAATATTATAATCAACCGAGCGACTTTAAAGAAGAGGATTCTCAATTCGACCTTATCAATGGACTTCAAAAAGTTTCTTAATTTGGTTGTATTTTTTATGTTTTTTACCTCATAACTCCGTCAGTTGTAAACCGATTTGGAAAATTCCTTTTTATCTAAAATAATATATGATTTAAAAGTTTAATTTTTAATTAAATTCAAATTTAGCCAAAATAGTTTGCCTAAATTTAAAGTATTTTTTTCGCTTTGATATTTTTTATAAACATATTTAATACACCAACTCTATAAACAATATTTGATATTCGTAGAAAAGTGATGATGATAACTTCGCCAATTATTAACCGATTTTGATGCTTCTTATTTCAATCGAAATGTTTACTCCTGTATTGGTATTAATTTTATAAAAAATATGTGTTCTTTTTGTTTTTTTACTAAAAACTAATCATACTTGTTTCAGATTGCTGATTTTGGATTGTCAAACGTTTTTAAAGAGACGTCACTGCTATCTACATTCTGTGGTTCACCGTTATATGCATCACCAGAAATCGTCAAAGGAACGCCATATATAGGTCCAGAGGTATTGTAAAAGCTATGAATAATTGTGTTTCTTTTCTGTTACACATGTCACGTTTTCAGTCCGGTGGCATACCACGTATAAAAAACCAAACGTGACCGGCGTCCTATCGACGTCTACCGGATTTAATATGAACAAAATACATTTATGCATTTTAAACACACAATGGCTGTTTGTAAAATATGAAAGTAGCTCGTTTTTGCAAGTTTTTTTCTTATATAATTTGAAAAGGCAAACACACTGACGGTTCGTCTGGTGGAAAGTGGTAACCAACGTTTAAAAACGTAAAACGCACCATAGATATCGTACAATATAATACCATAGTATTCCACAAGCGTTGCCATTCATAGGGACTAATATGTTTTTTTAATGGATGATAATGGATTGATAACCCCGCCTGCGCTATCGGTAAAAGCAGGCGAGGCACCAATAGGAGATAGGTGAGGATTAGGACGTGTCAGTTAGCCCACATGACGAATTCCATAAGAATTAACCACGATGGATTCCAGGAGAACCGCGTGGAGGGCGACTTAATGGAGTATATTGCTATCAACAGGTCTGACTCTATTACTAACAATCTCTTTCCCTCGGGACTATTATGTTATATTTCTGTACCTTGTAATCATTGCTGTATCACCTTACAAACTAAAACACAGATTTGCATGGCTGCTTGGTGGTAGAAACACAAGAGGAACAAAGGTATCTATATATAAGGCTTCCTCTATAATTATGTTCCAATGGGGTTCTTAATATGATATTATTATTATACTTAATTTTGTTAACCAGGTGGATTGCTGGTCGTTGGGCGTGCTGCTGTACACTCTAGTCTATGGGGCCATGCCATTCGATGGCTCCAACTTTAAACGATTGGTGAGGCAGATCAGCAATGGCGATTACTACGAACCCAAAAACCCATCAAGTAAGTTATTTAAGTGAAATCCATACTAGTCCGTGCTTATATATTGTTTTTATATATGCTCGAGATTCAAAATTTTTAAACGATTACACAGATTTTGATAAAGTTAGACATAGAAATTAAAGATTTAGTTCAAATATGTAACGTTTTAAAATTTATTTTTAATTAAATTGCATTAGAAAAATATTGTAATTATTGCATTTCATGTTATATTTAATGATAAAATATGTTTCATTCGCAGCTGCATCACCTTTAATTCGAGATATGCTCACTGTAGATCCGCTCAAACGTGCTGACATCGCATATATATGTGACCACTCGTAAGTTTTTCTAAACTGATTCGTACTGTCATAAAATGTATATAATAAAAATAACAATTCAGACGAAATAACTAACTAGAACCAAAATGATCACGCACAGTGCTATTTCAGAGAGCTTTCTCCTGTAAACGCTCAAGTTGAGGAAAGATCTTCTTGCCGAGGTTTACCCTAAAGAATACAGCATGGGGATCTTCAAAAAGGGCGTAATAAGATTTCTTAAGGGTCGGTAACGCGCGCACGATATCCCTGGTGTTACAGGCGTCCACGGGTTACGATAACCCCGTTTATGACGGGCCGTATGGTTGTATGCCAATATATTAATATAAAAAATGGCAATTACGAGTAATAGGAAGACATTATCATAACAAAATTCACACAAAAAGCAAACAAACGTAACACCGACGGCGCCCCGGATGGAAAGTTTATCACTTTGTTGTTTGTTTACCATCGGTTGTAGACATGAAAGTGTGTACAGACGACAATTTGGCACACGATCGGTAGAGCCATCAAATATACGGTCCGCCTGATTGTAAACGGCTGCTGTGGCCCACGAACGGCGTACTGCGCATCAAATAAACACAATGTTGAAAACCCTCGCCGGGTTACATTGCAATATACATATGTCATAAAACATGTTGTTTGCTGCATTTTTTTAGAACAAAATCGTAACATCTCGGAAGTAAAACACATGTTATAAACATGTATATTTTTTCATATCACCATCATCATCATCATCTTCCCACCCTTATCCCAATTACATAATATATATAATTGGGATAAGGGTAGGTATATATTTTTTATATAAATACTATATTTAATATGCTTTTTTATAAGATAAAAATAGAATATTGACTCCGCCTGCGATATACGATAGCGGGGTATCAATTAATGATGATAGGCAAGGATGAAGTCAGGTCAGTTTACTTATCGTGAAAATATTCATTATTAGGTAACCACTACAATTTCTTAGGAGGACCACATAGAAGTCGACTTAATTAATATGTATTACTAGCAATGGTTCCCATAATTTACAGTCCCTTTCTCTCACCGGATGCTATATGTTTGGTGTAATCGTGATAAAATATGGTCTTGTGGTACGCAGGTGGGTGAACACGGGATGCGGCGCGTCATGCTTGGAGGTGGCGGAGGCGCTGGCGGCTGAGACACCTGTGCGGCTCGATTTGCTGCTCTCGCTCGCACCCGCAGCGCCCTCTAACTGCAACTCCGTCGTCGTGCCTCCAGAGGTACCCACGTGTTGCACTACCTACTGTCGTTAAGAGCCAATTACACGTTTGATTTTGTGTCAAATTATAGAGAAACGAAGAAGACATTTTATCGTGTGGTGGACAGCTGAAAATAATTATTAAAAAAAAAAACTCTTATCTGATAAAAATTACAACATTGCAATATCCTATTAAGATTTTTTTTTATATTTAACATATAATTATTATAAGATCGTTGATTGCCCTACAATGTTTGTTTAATAGTGTATTATCAGTGGTTATGTGGTTACGTTATGTTTTATGACCACACTTCATTGATGTGTTAGGATGGACCTTGTTATGACTACGTCAGCTCGGCGGGCTCGTCCACTGATATCGATAAATGACGTAGTTATTTGTCATACACATGGACAAAAAAGAACTTTAGTAATTAAGATAAAATAATCAATTAAATAGCGTAATATTTTTTTTTTGTTAATTAGCCAGCCTTAAAAAAAGAAAGAAATAATGATACGAAGTGACGAAATGAACCTAACAATAATATTTTGTAGCATTTAAGTTATTGGAATTGCGTCCACTCTTTTTACGTAACGGAATGGTAAACTCGTGCTGTTGGCAAAGGAAAGTATTACCCGCCAATTGCCTGTAGACATGAGTATCACAGAATTAGACTTTATACCGTAGAATGGTATATTATGCCATAGAATGATATATTATGCCATAAAATGGCATATTATGCCACTATTATATATTCTGCTCAATAAACAGAAAAATCCATGCAAGTACATGTAGATGATGGTAGAAATACAATTTGGGTCGAAGATATTAATACAAATGACTTTTTACAATCTCCCTGTGCTTAAAAGCTTTGCGTGTGTTCGGGAGTACTACTTAACGTTTTGAGTATTTTAACTAATGATGAAATGTATTTTACTTTTATTTTACCAGACTCCACTAGGCCCCGAAGAGAGCTGCACAGATCTGACAAGTTCCACGTCAATGGCTGTCGAGCCCAGCAACTCAGCCGAAAAGAGGATCCTCGAATTAGTTGCAGGTTTGTACCAAGTGTAAATAGATGTTTGTAAGAATTAGTGTCCGTTAGTTACTCTGCTAGCTAATTTATTAGTTGATTTATTTTGACCTAAATGTAATTATTTTTATAGCTCAACATTATGTTTTTATGATTATCGATAATTTGTGTCGAAATTCTAAAATTGTGATTTTTATTTTTATTGAAATAATAATTGAGAAGAGTAGGGGCTTAGAAATCGTCAATGAAAGATTCTGTACACCTATTGGTAGATAAGACCGGTTTAACTATGCACTAAATATTTCACGCAAACACAAAGTTGCTTGTTCATACGCTTAATAATATTATTTCACTTTCGTGTAACTAAGTTCTTTGTATTAGTAATTTGAATTAAAAAATTAAACTTGATTTGACCTGTTTAATTAATTCATTTCCTAGACTTTTATTATTGTATACAATTTCAGAGGGCGGTGAAGACGCAATAAAACCGTCGCCAACTCGCACGATTGTGTCCGCGACTGACAACAAGAGAAAATTAGAACTCGCCATGTCTGCCAGTGGACTGCAGAGGAAGAAGGAACGAGTGGCCAGGTATAAATGCTCACGATTTCCTAATATAGTCGCCGACTAGATTTGATCTTTGCGAACTATGGCCAGGGCTTTATATTGTTAGGCCAAGACGCTTTCAATTACATTTCTACAAATATAAAAAAAAAAAATTAAAAACACCACTATAAATGCGAAATTTGTAAGGATGTATGTATCAATGTTTCAAGAAAATGTATTTATTGTTCAAGAAAACTATTAAAAAGATTTGAATGAAATTCGATACGTGGATAGGAAATACTCGTGTTTCCACTTTTAACACAGCATATTTTATATAACGATACAAGCAGTCTCTATGTAATCTGTTTTATTATAATGGGCATAGCTTTTCAGTAAGTAATCCTGATATGTTTTTTTTTTCGACATTAATAATTTAAAAATAAGACAGTTTTAAGGTAATATTAGACAATAATGCATAATTAACACAAACACCTTTTTATCCTATTTTTTTTTTTTATGTAAGAATTGCAATAGAAATTTATACAAAGTTTGATTACTAAATACGCCGTATATAAAGTAAGAGATAATACTTATTATTCGATGCTAATTAATTGCGTATTTTATAATATGTTTATATGTGGTGTTTTATGGTGATGTTTATGTTTATATCCCACTTCGAATAAGGAAGAAGGCTTATGCTTTCGATATTTATCCCGACAAAAAGACTTACAGTTCGCTCTTGTAAAGGAATTAAAACTTGTTTTGAAAATATGAGATACAAATATATTTATAATGTAAAAGATGCAATGAATTATTTATATATAGTACCGCAAGCGTCGGGCCTGCGCCGCCTGCAGTGCCGGAAGAGTCTGCGACTGAAACACCACCTCCAACGCCGCCAGTCGCAGCGGAAGCGGTAAGATATGCTTCGTGTTTACGTATAGGAATTATTTTATATTCATGTATTTTATTTTACTCGCTTAAGTTAATGCGCTTTTTTTATATTTCTACCATAGAAAAACAATTAATACATAATAATGTAAATATATAATGATAAATATATCTGTATTTTTTTATGTAAAACAAAGTACCGCAATGAATCATTGGATGAACTCAGGTGTACCGAAAATAATTTTTGAATATTGGATTATGGGCTATATACACATATAATGTAGTAGATGTGAACCGGTTTGGATGTAGGAAACATACTAATATATAATTTATTAAAAAAAAATAGAAAATAACACTTAGCACGCGTTACATTAAGTTAGGAAGGAAGAAAGCTTAATTGTAAATTCTTATTAATATAACGAAATTATATTACTGTTTACTATTGACAACACACACGTGTTGGCAACATATGTGTATATTGCCTGTTGTAAGGAACTTCATTGAAAAATTTTATATTATAGATTATTAAAAGAAATATTGATAGTTTTATTAATATATAAATTAATTCTTATCAGCCAACTCTAAAGTCATCGGCGACTATTACGATTCAACCGGCGGCAACGGAACTCGTAAAGGATCTCACGAAGGAGATCGTCAAGACGCCACCCAAAGAGGAAGTTAAAGAGAAACCCGTCAAAACGAAGGTTACAGTCAAGAAGAAAGTGCCTAAAGCGGCTGAGGAGAAAGTGGCGCCCGAGAAGAAAGATGAGCCGAAAGTGAGTGTAACTCATAATATACTAAAATTGAAAATAATCAATACTATTTATTGCACAGTAAATATAATAAAAATACTCTAAAAGCTAAGTACATTGATTTCAATAAGAGTCTTATAATGTAACGTTGATTAAAATACAAAATGTAACAACAGGAAGAGGCGAAACCGAGTTCAGTAGCAGCTACAACGGACAAGCTGACGTCGCTCTCAATCGCTCAGTCGCCCCCCGCCACACCGCCCGCCCCCGCCCGCCCCCGCCCCCGCTCCCTCCTCCCCGCCTGCCTCCGCCTCCACCCCCGCCCCTGCACCTGCACCTGCACCTGCTACTACACCCGCTCCCGCTCCAGCGACTACGCCTGCCAAGCCGAAGAAGTTGTCTATACCAGGTGATGATTGTATTAAACATTACAGCTGTTATAAACTTTTAAATTATATAAAGAGATCGCACCTGAGGATTGTAGCTCGTAGTCATAACGTAAAACTTTGTACACTTTTGCCAATCTGACAGCGTCTCTTATCGTAATTTGTATAGCGCCACAGATCAATTCCAGCTTTTTATCGGCCTTCGCCCACTACAAAGTCTTGATCCTCTAAGTCTTTAAAATTTAATTTGAATATTTTTCCATTAGGATCTGTTTAGAAAAATAAGAATTAGTTATATTCCTCGTTTTCAAACCCAGAATATGTTTGTGTGTAATGTGGAACAGTGTGAAATGTAACGAAAGTTAAAAAAAAAACCTTAATATGGAACAACTTGGCAAACATGGTCATAATATAAGATAACAATGATATCCTTTTCTTATGAGATTTTTTTGTGATAGCGATCCAAAAATTATTTAATTCTTTACTGCGCCAGAAACATAAAAATATACAAATAAATGACAATAATAAACATATTTATTATTTGGATTGGACTTCATTATCGATCTTGTTATTTTTGATCTAGGAGGAAATGTGGGCAATTTCAAAGACCAGTTCGAGAGGCGAGCGTCGCTGACCACTGCCCCGGAACCTAAACGCTCTGTATCTAAGCCAGGTACCTATATTTTGAACATAATATTTTACAGTCCTTTTTCGAATTGAAAATGTTTGAAATAACATATCCATTCATATGGATTAACATTTTTATAATACACAGCCTTAGCTATTTACTAAAATTTCCTTCATAAAAGCAATGGGAAATTCATAATAACCATTGTATATGTCCTTAACTTATACAAAAAACAAAGATTGTAATTATTGAGGGAATTGTTTTTATACAAATTTTGCTTAATTGTTTCGTCTATAATATTAGAATTGTTTTCAGTGGTGTCAAAGATCGCCAAACCTAAAGCTCAAAGCGAAGACCGCGAGTTAACACCGAAGACTACAGACAATGGCACAGTGCGTTTGCAGCAGATAGGCATCGAACCTTCACCTGTAAGTCACGCTTGTTAGCTAAAAACAAAATTGAAAGACTATTCTATATATTATATTAGTTGTATCCCGCGGTTCCACTTGCGTAAATCACTACATAAAGTATCATGTGCTAAATTAGGAAATTTGTGTACTTATATCTGTATTTATACTTATATATATTATGTATTTATAACTATAACTTATATTATGTATTTGTACATGTACCAAATTTCATTCAAATCCATTGAAGAGTTTTTGCGTGAATTAAACATCTATCGACACAAACTTTCGCATTTATTATATTAATAGAATTAATAGGATTAGTATAACACTAGATATATGACGGTGAAATTACTGCCTACTGTACAAAATTCGATTGCTTGGGTACCTCTGTCCCATTTGTGTTTCAACCGTGAAGCAGTTGTGTTTGCATGGCTGTGTTTCGGTTTGAAGGGTGGGATATGACGTAAATTTACTGGGTATAGAGGAATAACACCTGAGTCCTCAGGAATGGCAACGCATGGAGGGTATCATGGGCAAAACAGTATACTCTGTTATGTCCATGGTACTGCTCATGTCTATATACGACGGTTACCACTTTACATCAGGTGGGCCGTCAGCTTGTTTGCCATTCTAAGTTCTATAAAAAAAATGCTACTGTTATTGCAAGTGTTTATGGTATTTGAAAATTTAATAGCTCTCTTTGTTCTGCAATATGGATGTCTTCAAAAAAAGTATCTACAAATTTTGAACAGCAACGTAATAGGAGTAGTAACAGCTTTAGAGGTGCAAGTGTTCATAGGTGACGACAGCGATTTTTCCATTAAATGAACCGTCAGCTCGTTTGTCTGTTTATACGATGTTGGGGTATCAGTGAGAAATGAAAGGTGAGGATCGAGTCAGGTCATTCGCCTTATCATGACAAATTCACCAAAACTTTACTCCGATTATCTCTAATGAGTCGTGTGAAAGTTGTCCTGACAATGACTAGCAGTGGGTTTTTTAGTAGGCATTACTAATAATTTCTTTAATACATTGGAGTTATTTATGCAGAAAACAACCACTTTAGCTTAGAGATGGCTTTTTTTTTTATATAATTGACGCCAATTGTCATGTGGTATATTGTCCGTCGCCGCAGCAAAGTCCACCGGAAGAGGTCGTGAGTGCGGCCAATCGCGGCGTGAAGAAGGCCGACAGCGAGCCGTCGCACTCGTCCGCGCCGCTCGATCCCGGCGTACTGCTGCAGGACGCTAGAAGGTACGACTTTAAGATATATGTACTGTGATTATATCTTGTTGATGACCTGATATGATATTAAATAGCTTCCCCCAAGAAATCAGCTATCAAGTATAATATAATTTTTCAAATCTGACTGGTAGATACAGATAGTAGCGCCTTCACAGAAATAAACTCTTACGTCTCATTATATTATATTAATATACAATAGTCATTAGGAATGACAATGCGTGATGAGTGTTTTTTTTTTTAATGGATGGAATGATAACCCAGTCTGCGCTAACAGTATGAGCTGGCGAGACATCAGTGAGGAATGATAGGTGCAAATGAAAAGGCAGGTCAGTTAGTCCATTGTAATGATTACAACTGGAATTTAGCAGGATAGCTTCCAAAGGGGACATATATTTACATTCTTTGCAGAAAATTACTCAGTATCACGAATAATATTGTTAGATTTTGTAATATTACCTATTTCTTTATAAACTATGTAATGAATATAAAAAATACTTCGCTCTGTAGATGAAATAATCTATAATTATACTCATTATTTTGTTTCATTCATTATACGTTGTTTGATTTCAGAAGTCTACAAAACTCGATGGCAAAACTGGCGGAAGAGAAAGCAGGCGAGGAGAACCGCAGACGCGCCGCGCGGGACATTATATCATCAGCTATACGTACTGGTACAATATTACTTAGTCTAATGGCAAAATTCATTATATGTATATGCAGTGAAATAGCCAAAATATCTTATATTTTGCCATTAGTACAAATTTTAATTTTATATTCTTCATGTCTTTGTGGCTATAGAATCTTTTTATAAGTCTTCTGCCTATTTCATATCGACAATAATTTACACATGATAGGAAGGATTTTAAATAGGTACTATGCTTTGATCATGCCCAAAGTCCTACGTAAGCAATGGGCAATACTCGGTGCCCACTTCATTTCATTTCAAATCTAATAAAATTTGTAGTAATATGTTGGATTGCATTGGAGTGCGCAGGGATGTTATAATCTAAACAAACCCTCTCCTTTACAGACCCTGTTGAAAGTATTTGCTTCTTGGCATTTTTTGAATTATGTTCTCTTTCTCCCCAGGCAAGCCTCCGATGCCATACGGCCGCTCGTCGTCGGCGGGCGTGGCTACGCTGCTGTCGCCTGCCACCACTCCCCCCACCCCACCCACACCCGCCGCTGCTGCCGCGCCACCACCCACCCGGGTGTTCCGCACTGAGGCTCAGCATCGTGTGGAAGATCATCGGCCGAGGTTTGTCTTATCACTGTATTATATAAATGACAATTCAGGCAAAACTGACATTTCCGTGGATTTAGTGATAACTATGTTAACTCACTGACGGTTCGCTTTTATTTGAAAGCTAAATAAATTAGGGCTTCCAAGTAACAGATATCGTAGTGGAAGCAGACATCTCTCTCACTCGCACGTGAATCACTTTATTTTGTAAAATTATTTATTATATAAGTATTTAATTGTGTTGTTTTTCTCCTATATTGTATAATGCAAATAAAGACTCATTTATTCATACTATCAGCAATGACAAACGATATACTCTGTTAGGATAAAAAAAGTCATTACTTTTTTGCTGTTCTAAGTTTCTTAAAGAAAATCTATTATAAATATATTGCCCGGTCGTATAGGGGGGTGTCAGTGGAGCGCATTATACCAATACGCGTAGCCGAGGAAGGTCCTGCATCACCACCGCCTAAGCCGCAACCAGCTGCCGCACCCAGGCTTTCGCAAACACCGATCAGGTAACTACAATAATCTTTTGTTTTTTTTTTGTTCGAAAATAAATTTAAAAAATATTTAAAGATAAAAAAAAAATCTTGTGAAATAATGTATATAAATTTTCATATTTATTATAAATTCATATCTGTGTTTTATAATTTTTTTATATTGATTTAAATGTAATGGTAACCTAGACTGCGCAATTGGTTCACGATTGCGATGTACCAATCAGAGATGATAAATGAAGATCAGGTTAGTTAGACGTGATCAGGAATTAATCACGTTGATTTCCAGAGGGAACGACTTGATATACCCTATATTGCTAGCAGTGGAAGCGTTAGACCCTGTTATAAAATAATCTCATTATTATTATTATTCAACACTGACACTCCTTTTAAATCTATATGTTTTACGTCTAGGGTTGTACATCGATGCGTTTATACATATAAATGTGTATGTTGCAGGCGCCTGGTGTCGACAGAGTCGAGCGCGAGCGAGGCGTGTAGCAGCCCCGGCGAGCCGATAAAGAAGTCGGCGCGGGAGTTCATCATCCCTATCGCGGTGGAGGGCAAGGGTTTTGTGACGCCGCGCCAGCGCAGCCTCGAACCGGAAGCGGCTGCGCCTCCTACTTCGTTAGCCTCGCTCTCCTCTCTCGGCAGAATGCAGCGAACGCCTAAGCCTAGACGTATTAGGTATATACTAAATTCCAACTTTCAATCGTCCTGTTTTTAATGGTTGAAAATGGAATGGTAATTCCACCTATGTTGTCGGTTTATGTTCGTGAAGTAACAATGCTGTATGTATAATGTATGTAATGTATAATAATGATGGTGTTTGAAGTCAGTTGTCTATTATGACGAATTCATAAGGAATTAAGCACAGTAGTATCTTGGAGAATTGCATGGAGTTCAACCTAAAGGTGTATATTGTTACAAGTTGAGTTCTGTCCATCCGTTAACCTGTCGGCCCACTGTACTGACAAATCATACACATAGTTCGTTTTTGTCTTCACTTATTGTTATATTCACTCTTTACAGTAGTCTGGTCAGTGGTGGAGAATCGGAAGAAGAAGATGACACACACATGCACAGACTTAGGTATTGTACTTATTTTATTTCTATATATTATTTTATTTCTTTCCATAGTTTTCTTCCAGATAGAAATTAAATACATTCGCCTATATGTTCATTTTGTCTACCTTTGCCACCTAATTACTCTTACAGGGTTGTATTTAAACACGAAAATTACTGATTCCGTAAGCGACACCACTAGAGCTTTACGATCTTATTGAAAAACTATGATTTTGCAGTATTAATGATGATCGATATCTATCTCATCTATTAATTCAGCCGCCAGGCAGCTTTCATGTCAATTCTACCAGAATTCAGCATGAAAAAGGTTAACTGGCGAAGATAGTAATTTAATTCTGAATACTATTATTTAAGATTTTCAAACACATGCAAGTGACGTCTCTGATGTTGCAAACGCATTTGACTGTAGTTATTTACTATCAACATTGGACTGTAAATTTGATTGTGATCTTGTCATATAAAGACATTAAATTTACCACAGTTACCTAACCGTTTCAGGTCTTCTCGTGCCGCCCGCGCCGAATCGGTGAGCTCTGGAGAGGAAGATGAGGAGGACGAAGGGTTCCACCTGCTCACTGCTGAGAACCTATTCTCCACGTTGCTGCACAGGGTCAGTTCTTTATCATATTGCTAGCGACTAAAATAATATGTAGTTCATGTTACTTATTGATAATCTAGCTTTCTGTAGATGAAACATTTTTTTAAATCGATTCACATTTATTAAGTTTATTCATTACAAACATTAAGTGTTTTCTATTATAATATTAGTTTGGATAGATATATGCGTTGGTTTGGTCATTTGGAGAGGATGGATGAAAGAAGAATTACGAAAGAGATTTATCGAGCAAGAATGAATGGAGATGTCGGTAGGGGCCGCCCTAGACGGACGTATGTCGACCAAAATCTGAAGAAGGGCCAAATTAAAAGTACCCGTAACCGACGAGCGTGTATGACAAGATTGATGAATGTGGAAGAAGCAAAAGAGGTTTGTTTGAATCGAAGCATTTGGCGTTCCATTGTTTCTGCCTACCCTAATGGGAGACAGGCGTGACAGATATGTATGTTCATGCGAATCTAGTTCTAATGGATGCAACAGTAAATCTACATGCGGACTCATTATTTTTTTATGTTATGTTTTTAATCTGTGTACTGCAAAAAGAAACAGGTTTTTAATTCTACTGTATTTTTCAACCGACTTTAAAAAAGGAGGAGGTTCTCAATTCGGTTGTATTTTTTAATGTTTGTAACTTCATAAATGCGTTATTAATAAACCGATTTGGAAACTTCTTTTTTATCTTTTAGCTTGGATTTTCGTAGTTTAATTTTTTAATCAAAATAACTGCTGTTTTGCTACAAATGAATATGTTTTTTGTTTTGCCATACAAAATCCTAAATTATTGTGTGCACCTTACATAACATCTTCGCCAATTATAGCTAATTATGCAGAAAATCGATACCTTTTAATAGATATCCTGGATAATATTGCTGTTTTTTAATAAATAGCTCCAATTGGGTAGATTTTAAGGGTTATTTTTAATCAAAATGATAAGTATAGAATTCTTATAGACACACATTAATTTCGTCAATGAATGTCTTTATTTTTATGTATATATATATTTTTTTTTTCATTAATGATGAGACCACATAAAAGAATTGATTAATTGATATGTTTTTATGTAGGTTATTTATTTCTATAAATTAAATATTGTCTTTCTTCATCAATTTTTGGTTTTTAATTTTCAATAATGTTTATATTTATAATAACGTCTATTGGGTTATTTGTGATCAGGTGCGCGCATTAACACAACGCCTAAACGGCGAGGAAGGCCCCGGGTTCCCGCAACATCCCCATTCGCTCTTCAACAACCTGCAATCACCTTTCTTCAACAGGTACGACGCTATAATACAATGCTGGTTTGGCTTCAATAATACAACTACAGAGAGAGCAATGCATATATTGAAATAATCTGCTTATATATTTTTTTATATTTGGTTAACAATCTTGGAATGTTTTTAAATTGTCATATCACATCATCATAATCATATCAGCCAATACTTTCCCCATAGACTGTCATAAGCAATAGGGCCGTCCCTTATAGCAGTTTACCATTGAAGAGATTTTGACAATAGTTGCCACGTTTGGCAGGCGGATTGGCAACCGCAGTTTTTGGTGATGTTTTAAGAGGGGCGTTGCTGCCCATCCCTTGACGATTCACTTATTCATCTCTGACGATACCCACGAGAATGGAAGGAATGGCCCATTCTATGCAATATAATTGAAACTGATATTTTGCAAGATTGTTTACTAAATTGAATAAATACAAAAGTAAATTATGTGATATATTTGTATATTGGATTACATATTTATAATATTATAATTATGTATACAATATTTATTAAGGTGGAAACAACACTGAATAAAAATAATTTCTAACTTATTCTATACATTACAAAATTTTATATCTATATAAAAAGGATTTTGAATATATAGATATGATAAATTAATGGTGTGATGGTGTATTACACAATTATATTGTTATAAAATTAAAGCTAATTTCTTTAGTTTTTACTTTTTTTAATTTAGTTAATCTTAATATAAAAAATGTTTAAAACATTGGTCTATACACTTTTATGTAATATTAATAATAATTTAATTAATAATAAAAAAGTAATTTGGTTATGATATATGCATTGTTTGTCTCAGTTAATTTTTTTTTTAATATACCTATATAAACTGTAGTATATAATATTATACCTATACAAGTATACAAAATTGTGAACAGTAAATCTGTTCAAAATTTTAAGATTGTTTTTATTTAATTTAAAATATTTTTTGAGATGTTAGTAATCTGTGATTAAAGTATCACATTAAGATATAGATACTAAGATACCATTATTTCATGTGACTTTATACTTGTGTATTGTTACAAGTTACAATTCGGCGGAAATATCGATATACCGACTTATAATAGTAGAATGCAATACAATAAAGTTAAGATTAAATATATCTCACGAGAATTAATATCACTTAGACTATTTATTATTATATTACTTATCTGCTTAAGAATATTAACCGTCGTTTATTTTACATTTGCCACATTTCACTGGCAAACTTCTAGCATGGCTATAATAGTGTGCACAAATAGAGCCACAGATAGTTCCGTCGGATTGTAAGTCATACGGTGATTTTATAATTTTGTGTTCCAACTAAAATATTTTTAATTTTGTGCATGCAGCCCTCACTTACCAAGGAGACATCTCTTGTGAGTATACGATTTTATATTCTAATGAAACAAAACACCCAAACGGATAAACAGTCATCTTGTGACATGATCCGTCTTGTACTCATTGTCCATTTGAAGTTACACCTAAAATTGTCGAACTTGTTGTCACTACATAATGCATTAAAAAACTAGGACCTAAATTTACTGGGACTAATAGCAGTGACGTATCACGATTAATCAATAGATAATATCTACCATCGTACCGACTACTCGAGATCTGGTTTAGGTACAATAATCTTAATTTTGCCACGAAACAGCAATGCGTGCGTTGTATGTGTTGTTTATACGCAGTGCTATCTTTGACACAGGAGCTATTTTAATTACGGTAATACAGGATATCCTCTCCCAATGTATGAGGGGGGATAGCCTGTATTATCAAATCCATGTCTATCCAATTTAATTTTTACTTTTTATTAGGTAAAGTGTCACATTTCAATTTTCATTTTATAAACAGTCCTCCACCCCTCTCTTACTATTCTTAAGTTGTCGTTTTTCGGTTTTTCTATAGTTGATATTACTTTTTACATGCAGCACTCATAGATATATGGAAAGTAAACGAAGTGTTTCTGAAACGTAAGTTGTATATAATGTATCTGCCAATTTACATATTAAAAAATAAAATATGATACTTTCTTACAGAAATACCAGACTACATGAAATAGAATATAATATTTTTATGTGCATAAATGTGATGACACATAAATGTTTAAAATTATTTAATTTTTATATAATTATTATGCACTTCAATTGAAATTATATAAATAATTATTTTATTATTATTCTTATTTTGTTCTTTATCAATTAAAAAACTCATTCAGAGTATTATAAAAGCCTGCACTAACTACTTGATTCGTCGAGTACGTAATTTCTCTATGTTTCAATTGTTTATTTTTATGATCTTTTGTCATTATAGTAGAGAAATGCTGACCTCTCCTTGTTTGCGCAGACTTTAACGGATTAAAAAGAATGTGTTTATCATCAGGTATTTTATGTGTATTGAATTTTTTTTGTGTGTGTGTACAGACGTGACGGATGGGGTTCCCGCGAGCGCGATTTCGACTCGATGTTCGGCCGCCAGCCGCTGCCGCGAGGTGAGTGTGGCGGCGCGGCGCCGCTCGCCGGAAAACGTCGCCAATAGTTGCTACACGCGGCCCACGACCCACGACCCACGCTCCAACCACGCCACGCTTGTCGGCACGTGCACTCGATCCATTACTTACTATCGTACAGTCACAATATCATCTCCCAATCATTTAGAATTTAAAAGAAAAAGCAAATAAGCCGATTTCAGCTTGACTAAATTATTACGGGGCTCACACGAGAGAATCTTTTTTGATTAAGAAAAGTAACATCAAAATTTGGTTCGGAATTGGCGTAGTTATCGCGTATAACTTTTTTAAATATATATTGGAAACCTCCTTTTGAAGTCGGTTAAACGATTCTTAAATATATAGTTTTTTGTAGTACTTACTTTTCCCTTTTTAAAGTATATAACAAATTGCAAGTGAACAACGAAATTCTAAATTTAAAACCCTATAATTTGGCTATCATATTAACGCTCTCATTATGTATATTGTCGCACATAGTTGCATGCGCAACGAGTCGAATGGAGTAGTCGCACCAATGTCGCACAAGTAGTTAGCGCCGCTCGCCCGGCCTACACTCTCACAACAAAGCTGGCTTGCACTAAACAAATGAATTAACTATTCATACCATACCGCGCCGTCGACGTTTCAGTTGTATAGCAAATATATTAGTGACGTTTTCCAATGGACGAGTCGTTTCATATATATATAATAAACGAAATAATTGATTGTTCTCATTTACTTTGGCGCGTAACCTATTATAATTTTCGAATGTGTGTAATTTTCGTTTTTTTACTAACAATTTTTTTTTATTAATAAACTTAACATTGTTTTGCATCGTAGTGTTTATATTTTGTGTATTCAAAACGCATTCTTTGTGCAGGTGTTGATTTTCTCCTCCCCGCTAACACTAGCAGGAAAATGTTGCGTTGCTACGAGTCGTCATAGACTTTCAGTTCATTTTAGTATCAAAATTTTGCATGAAATTCACGAAAAAGGCATTGTTACATTACACGTATCGCATCGCCTGTGGCAATACAGTATTCCGTATATGAGCCAGTAAAATTAATCATTTAAAATTTCCTATAAATTTCAGCGGAAAAATAAGACCAAAAACAGTATTGTCTACAGACTGACGGTTAATTTGTTTGTAAAGTGACCATAGCATAAATGTGTAGCTAGTGGATGTGGTAGAACTCGATGTAAGACGAATACTTCGGGCACCGGGGCATAGCGGGGCTGCGGGGTCGACTGGGACTGCGGGGGCTGCGGGGGCTACAGGGTCGGGCGGGGCGGTGGGGCGGGGCACAGGGCCGCGCCGCCGCCCCGCAGCAGTAGTGAGGTTGTGTTGGTGTGGTTGCAGTTGGGTTGCGCGTTACACTGCATGCTCCGACCAAATCTTCACTTCACAGCGGCACCAGCGCCAACCACAAATCTGCCACAAACGCCACACAGGAATAGGTACTAAACATATTTATTTCTTCATTTATTATTATTATTATTATGTGTTTTGTGTTCCGCACCGTGCGCCGCGGCTGTTTACCAGAATAGAGATGCCTTACTATGTGATACATTGCTGCAGCCATTGTTTAGTTTGCATTCTGGTAAATTACTGTTTATTCGAAAGCAACATTTTAATGCATACATCTGTGGTTTGTTTTTGCATAACTAAAGCTTCCTGTTTGATCTGATCCGACTTGACCGTATTTAGTTCTCATGTCTCTCATTAACTTTTAACCATAAATATCGATGTTCGTCTGCAATAATAACGAGTGATACCTTGAATTCTAATCTCTTCTGAAATGTTAAAATAACTACTATTACATTTTTAAAACGTCCCTTCTCGAGCGCAACGCTCCAGCCCTTCTATCGAACCGTGCCACGAAGCCAATTTCGAAATTCACTTTTGGCAAAGCGACACTGTAAATACGTCATCCCAGCGAGCATTCTGCATGATCGAAACGTGTGTTTTTCGATTGCATTTCAGGTAATAGTAAGAAATCCGGTAAGCACCATACGAGAGCCCAACAAAACGCCGAATCGAACGTAGAAAGCGGGTTAGATCTGTCCGACCTGGATCTGAGCTCGATACAGTTCTCGGAGAAGGAGATGCGGGCGTTGTCGGGCCTCACGCCGGCGCTGTCGCGGCGCCTGCAGCAGCAGCTGCTCGCGCACCTGCCGCCCGCCGCCGCGCGCTCGCTGCGCCGCACGCTCTCGCTGCACGCGCCCGCCGCCCGCGCCGACCGCGCCGCCGCCGCCGCCGCCGCCGCGCACAGCGTGCCCGCCACCCCGCTCCCCGACACGACAGCCACTAGTGACGCACCGCGCGATCCGGGGGACAACCACCCGCCACCCGAAGCGCCTGCGTCCCGTGACACTTCGCCCAAAGTAGAGAGGGAGGACTCGCTATACGACTCGCCCGCTTCCCAATACTGTACTCTCCCGCGGTTGAAGCGGCCGACGGTGATGCCGCGGGAAACGACGCCGCCGGAGCCGGAGCCGCCGGGTACGGACACGGCGGCACGCGGCGCATCGCAGGCGCGGGAGCCGAGCCAGTCGCGCGGCAGCGTCCGCAGCACGCCGGACCGGCCACTGCTCAGCAAGTACCTGACCCCTGAGCGGGCGCTCTCGCTCGACGACTCGTACTCATCGGACGGCGGCAGCATCCTGTCGGAACCCAGCTACGTCGCCGCCTACGGGGCTCCGGCGGTCGGCGGCTCGGCGGCACTCGGTTTCAGGCGCCACTCGATGAGGCTCGCCGGCGATCAACCCAGAAAGCGCATATCGAGATTTCTTCGTCCGGACTTTTTTGATACTCCTCCTGATGAAAACGTCTATGCCAAGCATAAAAAAGAAAAAGAATTGGAAACACAGAAAATTTTGAAAGAAATCAGAGAGAAGAAGAATAGATCGTTTGATTCATCGTCGACACCGAGGAGCCCGACGGACAGTTGCGACAGTCAGTATACGTTCAAGGATGATTCGAGCTATCCCCGTAAATGTCTCTCGCCGATTTCTGTACTGACAGCGAAAGAACGTAGCAGATCAAATACACCTTTCTTTCCCAGTTTGGATAATATAAAGGAAAGTGCCATAGATACCTCCTCGCTTTTGATAAATGACACGACGAAACCGTTTAAAGAATTAACCGAAACAAAACAGAAATCACGATTAGACGAAAACGCTTCAACTAAAGATTCGAGATTAACTAGGCCAAAGAGTTATCCCGTTAAAAACTTAGAATCCATCGAAGAACCGATACAAAATTTATCTTCTGAATGTTATGTGAATAAGGAAAATGAAAGCAAAGAAAAGAACTTGCAAAAAGAATCGAAATTAATTAGACCGAAGAGTTATCCTACCAGTAGCCCTTCGCCAGAAAAGTTACAAATAAATCGAAACACCAAGAAACAAGAAACTTTGACGAGTAATCCCAAAGAGGTTGCTAGTCCAGAAGTAAAAAATGACGTGGAAGTAAGTTTTAATATTACTTTACCCAAGAAAACGAAATTAGATACATTGACAAAAGCAGATTCATTGAAAAATAGCGAAAGCTTAGATCCAACTATAGATAATAAGATGAATAGCAATAAAATGCAGGCGGCAAATGAAAACTTAAAAAAATACAAAGTTATTTCAAATGTTGATTTTGATAAATCCCACAATGAAATTGAAAATGGATCCGCTATCAATGAAGCAGCTGGAATAAATAATAATACGTCTAATATAGACTCTAAAGTTATTAGTAATACATCTAAGAAAGAAGATATTCAGTTGAAAACTTCTGAATCGGAAACACCTATTGAAAAGAAAGGTACTATAAAGAAAAAAATAATAAGGAAAGTTTCTTCTAAATCTAAGACTGACTTAGGAAGCCAAGATAATGGTGAACTTAAAAGTTCTACTGAAAAGAAAAAAGTCACAAAAAAAGTAAAAGAGAAAGCATCTGAAGATGGAGCTAAACCAACTGTCACAAAAAAGAAATCTGTATTACAATCTATAGGTCAAAAATTAGAGAAATTTGCATCTACCAAATCTGCCTCTCCAGAAAAATTTATAGAGAATAATGATATGCCGAGTGATCTTAAGAAGATTACTACGAAAGAAAGCAGAGTGCAACGAGAGCAATCTGTACCCGTGGATATAGAACCTCCCACCGAGTCAAATCTTATTAAAAGAGCCGTCACATTGACTGATGTTGCGGCTCTTGATACACAAAATACGAATCTCGGAAAAACTACAGTTTCTAAAGTATTAGGTTTGTTTAAAAAATTCGAGCCAAAGGAGAAAATTGCTAAACCTGTCGTTGATAAATCACAATATGATAATCTCGATGACATTAAGGATCTCATTAACAAAAACGAAAATAGCGTAGACACTGCATCAGACACATTAGATAGTGATAAACCGAAAAGACCAACATCTTTGCTCTTAAATGGTTTAGGACGCAAAAACAAATACGGAAGGACTGCAAGTGACAGTGTGTCAGTGGCATCAGTAGATAATGACGATCAAATTTCCCTTAAAAAAGAGATTGAACCCAGAAATTTAAGAAATACATTAAAATTAGATTTCTCCAGATTGCCAAGAGTAAAAAAAATAGTTCCTACTAATCCTGTGATAGAACCGCAATATATAAATATTCCTCCTGATGACAAGGAGACTAATAAAATCGATAATACAGAGAAAAATGGTTCGATTCCACAAGGGGGTTTAGGTGCCGATAATGCCGATCTCGAAAGCCGCAGTCGATCCAGGAGTAGATCAACTATTTCAAATTCTGAATTTAAATCCGACAACAGTAGTGATTATAAAATTAATGATAAAAATCTAATGTCGCCCTCTGACAATATTGTTTATCAATCTTTACGAAATCACGAATCGATCACGCCTGAAAAGGAAGATATCGTTGATAGAATACGACGAAAAAGCTTTTACTCTAGATTTAATGAAAAGAAACAACGACGAAAGAGCAATCTAGTCGGCCCTGGAGCTACCGAGTACGATCCAGTGGCTAGGATCCATTCGCCACCCACAGAGGCTAAATACGATGGCTCACCTACTTCTGGAACCTATGATTTATCACCTGCATTTTCTGTCGCATCAGATATATCCCCGTCCACTGAACGATATAGATCTCTTTTATCCGACTTACCTGCTAGCCCTAGGAGTACCTTAAGATACGACAATTATGGGCTGAATGATAAAATTGATACATACCGATCTCTCGACAGAAACGAATTCAGAAAATATCCAGGGACGCGAAGCTATTTAGATTACGATCAACCTTCGTCTTATGGCGCGCATAGATACTCGAGAACAAAATCGCTGTTGGACAGTACTGATAGTACTGAAGATTCTTCTTTGGGAATTCTTAGAGACCCGCATAAATATAACAGAACTATATCTATGTATTCTCCTGGAAATTATGCCACCTATCGACCGAAAAGAACGAGAAATTCTGCTATTATACTAAAAGAAAGCGAGAAAGAACCCAGCCCTGAAAATATATTAGACAAAATAAGGCAAAGAAAAAAGTTATCAATCAGCGTGACCAAAAAGCCAGATACAGAGGACTCACTGCCAAGGTGTGTATAATTACCGTATTACATGTTCCGTAAATAATTTTAATAACTCTCCCAAAGTGAAAGATATTTTGATTTTCTATGTGCACGCTTCACGCTTCTGAATTAAATCTAAGCACTAATGCTTTTACAGTTTTATATATAGGTACCCCATAGACTTAGATTGTCGATGCTGTTTTATACTTACTCAAATGTACATAAATAAAATATTATACTGCTTTATACGAGTATATTATTAAAGTTCTTATATTTATAGTAGATCAAAGTTGTAATTTACAATTTTTTTATATTTATGTAAGATTTTGAAATATATATTTACAATGTAATACGTTGTAATTTAAGAATAAGGCGAAAATAAGAAAATTGATATCTCAGTAAGAGGATAATAATGATATTGTAATGTTACAGATCCCATATCCCACCTAAAGGCGAAGGCGACGGTGCAGAATGCGCTGAGAAAGTTGACTGAGAGGAACTACTGATATATCGGTCGTCACTTTGAAGGAAGTCGTTTGTGATTTATTTAAGCATTTGTTGTTATTCGAAACAATTTTTTTTTTTTTGCCAGACAGTGTTTACTAGTTTAGTTAAACGACAGACACTCGAATATGCTTCCACTATTTTTAGAAACGTACTCAACTCCTACTATATTCACTAATAAGGTATAGATCCGAGCGAGGCTGTATCGACATATTCTTGCCAAAAAGTAGTCCGCTATGTGTAGTAAATATAATTAAATTGTTATCTAAATATCACTCATGAATGGCAGATAGTTTAAAAGACTGTCGTTAGTGGCAAATATAGTTACTACAAGAATGAATCTCCGTCGAAAATACGTATATTTGTAGAGTTATTGGTTTATTGGGGAGATATTCTAAGGGCTTGAACTACCGAAGAGAAATTGCAAATAATAATAGGTAGTGATTTTCACCGATTCATGAAATTGTAAAAATAACATAAAATCATATTTGTATTATTTTGTTAGCTTTGTCTCAAATTGCAGTTACTGCTACATATTTTAATACAGCTTACAAGCTGGATAATGTTACTATAATGAAATATAAATACTGACTAATAAAAATATATATTACGCAAAGATTTTCTTTGTTAATCGTTTATTGTACATTGATTCTTATGTGCCTTTATAATAATACATAAGTGACTGGATTTGATATTAGTCCATTTTATTGAAACAAATAAAATGACACGATTTTATGTGTGTGTTTGCACAAATATGTTTTACTCAATATAATTAATATTAATTTTTTTTTTATAGTTATTATCAATTTACATTTTTATGTGACCCTAAGTCAAATTTAAGTTTAAATGTTTATCATAATCTTATAGTATTTGATGCTAAGTCACATCGTAACAGTTATCGAATAGAATGGTGCTTAGAAGATTTCGTTAGGAATAACTTGTATTTATAGATTGGACGTGTTATAGTATCACTTACGCAAACGCATGTCATTTAGCAGCGGTTTTAAGTATGTATACGTATTATGGTTTGTAGATCTGTGTAACAAGATCGCCATCCGCGCAACTAGTATTGTGTACGAGTTGATATAATTATTTATGTTCGTTGCTATTTTCCATTTCACCAATTTATAAATGAAATGACAGCGGTTAAGAGTAATGTTGTAAAAGCAATAATTTTACATCGGATTGACGTATTCAGCATCTCGAACTTTCTATTTATTATTTTTTTTTCTAGAATTGAAATTATTTATTGGTGTGTAGTGATTTTTAATATTTTTCTTATTAGTTACTATAAATGTGATGGCGCAGGAACTGTGATGATTTGAATAATATTAAAATTACTATCACACATGTTTTGTATTGAATGTGAATAAATTATATAGTTGAAGTATCGATTTTTATTTATACCCAACCTTAACCGCTATGCCACTAATGTCGTCAAATATTTTTGAGTGTCTATTCTGAGACAGGCGATACGCCTATTTTTTCCTTTAGAAAATAAAACAAGATTTTGCATACAATCAGTATATTAGAAAAAATCAGTTATAATTTATGCCGCTGCAAGTGCCTGTAGGTCCGCGTAATATTTGGAATCGGCCTCCGCCAGTTGCTCCAGTACGTCGTCGACCGCAGTGCGTGGGAATCGTTCCACCCACGATGCGATCATGCCTTCCGCGCTCGCCGGATAACGTTTTAGTTCTACGCTGTCATCTGTAGATACGTTTAATGAAGTAAAAATAATAACAAGTACACAACCGCAGCAATCGCCTTGATCGTAGGATACAGTGTTATGAGAAAAATGGCAACGAACGTATGGAGATGACCAAGAACACCCAGTAATTTAATACATATATTACGAGGGGGACAAAAAAACTTGTATCATCTACCATCTTGTAACGACGGCCATTTTGAAAGTACATATAATACCGAGTATTACATTGTCACCAGAATTAAACAAGCAAAATTTTAGCTCGATCAGATGTCAAGTGGTTCTAATTCAGTTTGCAAGATTTGGCCTAAACTTCTATTATTAATTACATACATTGTTAGTGAAATAAAATTTATAATTTATAAATCAATATTTAACATACCCTTATGAATAGTATTGGGCTGTACGAAGATATTGCGCGGTTGCTTATGTAGCATGACGATGTCGCGCCAGCGGGCCCACTCTCCGTCGAGGCGGCTGTATTTGTAGAACAGCTGCTCGCCGGCCACTGCGTCACCCGTCGCCTTTATCGTCTGCAGCTTCACCAGGAAGTCACCTATGTGATCAATTGTGTACCATTTAGAAATCGAATGTTATGAGCAATACAAAATTTCCAAGTGTCTACGACACAATACATGATTGTATTGCATGAATCGTAACCATTTCGTATAACTCATTAAGTAAGCATGTCTATTTTAAATTTCTATAATTTTATATTGTAATATTAATACACAAATATAGTTTTATCATGGGTTATAAAAAAAAATATTCGTGGACAACGGCGTTTTTAACTCCACCACGATACCATGTTAAAATAGTCAAAAAGTATTTGGTCATCCAGAACACCCACATCAGAATCAATTAAAAAAAAAATGCAAATTAGGCCAACCGAAAATTAAATCCATAACTTCATTTACGAGGTCTGTCCGGAAAGTTCGTATAAAAGTGTTCTGGAATGCGAGAAAGAGGAGTGAGGAGGCCAGGTAAGCGCAGGACCCTTCCTTATGTCCCTAACAATGCTTCAGTTCTGGTCTGACCGCCGTGCGGTGCGAACTGGCTTGTCACGCCATCTGTGAAGTTACCTCTTAACGAAACCCCGTCGGCATGGAGCCCGCTTCCGTTGAAGAGCAGCGCGTCGTAATCAAGTTTCTCTCGAAACTCGGCAAGAATGGCCGTGAAAAGCAAAGAGTGGAAGACATCCGGGGAACCACGAACAAAAAAATCAAGAAAATCCCGCTCAAATGTCAAGACAATGTTGATTGTTTTTTTCGATGTTCTGTCGGGGGATTGTCCATCAAGAATTCGTCCCTCCAGGCCAGACAGTTGATGGAAAATTCTACGTCGATGTGCTCAGACGCCTCAAAGCTCGTGTGGCACGAGTTCGTCCAGAATTGGCGCGAGAGGGGCGTTGGATTCTTCACCACGACAATGCCCCTGCCCACACCTCTCTTGTTGTCCGTGAGTTTTTGAGTAAAAATTCCATTACGGTGACCGAACACCCCCCCTATTCGCCGGATTTGGCCCCGTGTGACTTCTTCTTGTTCCCAAAAACCAAATTGGTACTTCGGGGGCGGCATTTGGGGGACATAAATGAGATAAAAAAAGCTACGACGGGGCAGCTGAGAAACCTACAACCAGAGGACTTTCAAGGAGCCTTCTCACAGTGGAAACGGCGTTGGCACAAGTGCATTATGTCACAGGGGGAGTACTTTGAAGGGGATAAAATTGATTTACCTGAATAATTATAAAATAAAATTTTTAAAAAACTTTTATACGTACTTTCCGGACAAACCTCGTATGTCAAAAATCCAAGTAAAATGGCAGTCATTTTTAATACACTTAATATTACTTGTTATATGCATAATATACTACATACGAGGATATGTATATTATATACATGTACTATATACAGTACATGTATATTATATATTGTAGTGAAACACTAAAATTATAGGTAAACTAACCGATAATTTTCTTTCCATCAGTAGCTAGACGCTCTTTTTGCAATGTAACAAGTAAGTTCTTGCCAGGTTCCGATTCTGTTATGGTGAGGACCCCGTTGCCTTCCAATTCCAGAAGCCGCATGAGAACGAAACGTGCTCGCGCGTGCGCCTATTCAACAAATAATACAACTCAATGTCAAGAAAAAAGTAAGTCATCATTATGACTGACTGAATCAGAATAGATTCAGTCGATAATCATTGTATTCTTAAAAATATAGTTTAGAAACAATATCATGATATAAATAGTAACTTATGCTATCAGAGGAGAGGCAGAAAGTATAGTTGCTTGTATCAGTATCTTTACCTTCTTTAATTCTGTATTGTGTGAGTGAAATTATTAGATACTATATAGAGTTAATAAGAACAAAGAAGGCTCTGGTATTGCAAGCCTATGTTTGTTTAATAATCATTGACATATCATTTAATAATAAATAATTAAGTGTTAGTATTTACGTAAATAGGATTTCACCTGTAACCAAGTCTTGGTGGAAGGTTGATACATTTCCGTCGCCTTCGCAGCGCCGTTCCATAATAAGCTTAACCAGTTTATGTATGTTACATCTTGCGCTTCTTGGCCTTCATACCCAAAGATTCTGCAGGCATTAATTTATATTATAGGTAGGTTTTCTAAGAGACATCATTTGGAAGATAATTTTAGCACCAAAACATATAATAGTAATAGTATAGAGATAAAGAATATAACTATTCTTTATCTCTATACTATTAAAAGCATTAATACCGAATTTTAACATCGTCTATAAAAATTCACAATTATTTCCTAACTAGTAGAACCCGTGGCTTTTCTCGTGCTTAAATTATAATAGTAATTTGATTTAAAAGCATGTTTGAGTAAGAAATATCAAAATATAAAACTTATAACTTATGTTTCCAAACCATGTTTTTTTAAAAAAAAAATACTATGATTTCGTAAGCATGTACTATTGCTATGTTTTGATTTATTTCATTCTAAATGTAAAACTTTCTGTAACAAATATTTATGAAGATCAGTTAATAACTTTAAAAGTACGTTTATATTACTAACTCTGGAGTCTTACTTCAAAATCTCTGGCTCTAATGAAAGATATAAGCCGACAGCTTCCGCGCGGCACTCCTCAAATGCAGACCCCAGTGTGGTGAACTTGCTGTCATATGTCTCACCTTCGGTGTACCAAGTTTCTATTAATTTACCTGAAAACAATAATTTTATTGATAGCATAGTTTTCTTAACAGCAATGTTTATATTTTTTGTGCAATTTAGAATTAACATTCTGCGACAGCGCCCTAACCCCCAATCACTTCATATTGGGCGGTCCATCGCGCGTCCCACTGCCATATTCACAGAGACGCGGCGGGACACAAGGAGTGGCGTGCCAGCCTGATAAAAAATGGTAAACAATAATTAATAGATTGTTTATATATTTATTAATAGATAACCCGGTGAACTTCGTATCACCTAGAATGCAATCTATTAAAAGTAATGTAACATAGTGATTTCCATACAAAATATAACTTTTTAGTTTTTAGAAAAAAAAGTGTTAGTCCTAATAAAAAATATTTCATACAATATCTTTATAGTATTAATAGTAATTCAATGTCCATGCTCACCAGTGAGTGGATTCTTGACTTTCTTCTGATCGAAGTTGAAAGTGCCGTCCGCATTCTGTCGCAACAGCTTGCCGCTGCCGTGGCCCAGTAACTCGTGCAACCCCACTTGCACCTGTTACGATATTTATTAGTTATCGATTATTTTATATAAAACTATAATATTACACAAAAGTTACTTCAGCCCTCTCTTGACTCCTCACAAGAGCAGCAACCCTACAAGCATCATGAGTATCGTAGTATATTTTCAATCTCCATAATGCCATCAGTAAGTAACAGTTAACACTTATCTCTTAGATAGATAGCTTGTAATTTTTAATTCATATACGAATCGATTTATTGGCGAATCATAAAAATATTTTAATACAAAATTAGAATTATGATACACAGGAAACGTATGATACGAAATCTATTGTATAGTAGCTGCTAAATAAGGATATAATCTACCCGTGTACCAAATTTCATTCAAATCTATTCAGCATCTATTCAGGCAAATTTTCACGATAACAATGTTATTAATAGAATACAAACCTCAAAAGCGGCGACCCTGTATTTTTCGAGCAGTTGTTTGTCTGCTTCAGACAAGAACGGTATAATGGCTTCCTTGTATGCGGCTGGGATCACATTCCCCAGGGACACGTTTTTGAAACCTTCGTTCTGACGAATCTCGTCATCTGTAATGCCCTTTTTATTTATTAACTCTTTACTGTATTAACTCATACTTACCTTTGTTCTATCACCAATAGTTTCCGTAGCGCATGCGACGAAAGATATTTTATAGTATTTTTTTACACCTTGAGTTACGTTACTAAAGTTTTAGTAAGGAGCTCTAATCTTTTCTAGCAATAAATATAGCCTATGTTATTCAAGGTGAACGTACCTTTCTAATGGTGAAAGAATTTTTGAAATCGGCAAAGTAGTTTTTGAGTTTATTCATTACAAACATACATACACACAAAAATACAAATCTTTCCTCTTTATAATATTAGTGTAGATTACAGTTGTGAGCATTTTTTGTATAGTAAATCTCTTAACTAATAACTACACTTTACGTTAGTAATAATTTAAATCAAAGACAATAAAACATGCTCAGTAGTACATATTCATAAATATTATATATCATAAAACTATACAAATTGTGCAACTGTGTTGTAACTATGCAAGTCACGACTTTTAAAATAGTAGGTACAGATAACTTGTATCGCTTCTTATGATATTTATAGTGGCAAACAAACAAACGGCCGTATAGAAAGTGGTGACCGTCATCTATAAACATTTATTCTTTAAAATATAGCAAAATTGCGCAGGATTTTTTTTCTAGAAAACAGGTGATTTTATTAATAAGGGATTTCTCATATTTACACAAAAACAAAAGTAATATGTTCGTGTAGGTAAAACCTGGGCAAATGGCTGTTTCAGTAATAATATTCACAATTACCAATTATGAATTGCATTAAAAAATATTAACATACAGTTTGGAATATTAATTCCGGCTGGTATTCCACTTCCAGAGAAGGTGAGCACATCCAAACTGGTGAAGTCTGGTCTCAGGAAAGTGTCTTTTTCCAAATCTTCGCCCCACGGAAGCAGTTTAATAAATCGCTCCGCTCCATTAACTAAAGTTCCAAACTTCTTTGACATCTCTTTATTGACCATGGACACAAAGCCTTCGAATTCACCACGCTGTCCGCTCGGGTCTCGGTAGGTTTCTATGAAGCCTTGGTAACTACAACATGGAAAATAAAAATGAGTTTCAACATACTTTAAGAAAAGCCCCAATTCAATTGTATTTTTTTTTATGTTATATAATATTTTCGTTAATGCTAAACTAATTTTCTTCATACTTTTTTAATCAATAAGGTTCTCATATACTGGAAACATTTTTTTTGGTAAAATTAAATTTTATAAAAATATTTATAAATCCTCTAACCTTTATTAACCTATTTTTGCTATAGAAGTGTTTTATCTTTTTCTTTTGTGCTAAATTCTAAATATGAAGAACAGTGACAAAATATAATATTTACATTGGCAGAACGTCACCACTGTAGAGACAGTGGATGCCATAAAAAAAAAAGAAAAAAAAAAGAAGGAAATGCATATCTTATTGTGCTTAATTCACTCTAATACATCACTCACGTTTCAATAATAGGACCCTTGTCTTTGATCCAGAATCTGCTGCCTTCTTTGTGCTGTTCCAAATCGCCTTCCTTAAAACTCTGTATGTAATGTTTGAGCATGTTCTTCTCGTTATCGTTAGCGGCGTACTGTTGAGCTTTGGCCAAATTTTCATTGACCAACTTCAGCAAAGGCGAGTAGTCTCCGCGCGTCACTTGGAAATATGCGTTTTTGTATTTTTCCTTATCCATAGTCAATTGCGGTTTCGATGTTGTTTCTACACTAGCCAAGTGAATTGTATACAGCGGTACTGAGAATAGGACAAAATTATTGAAATCAATGTGGGTTAATTACTATTAATTTCATATAAACGAGTAATAAGGTTATACTAAGCAGTTTATATTACGCTCCAATGCGCGTTTCTTATAAAATTTTACAAAATGAACTATATAATAACTATAGTGGCTTTCCAACCATAAACAAACGTGTGCTTTCAATACTGCAGTGTCTGATGTTGAATCAAGGGAGTGAATGGGAAGGCTACTAAACTGAGATTATAGTATGTACCATTAAACTAGTTTAATATAATAAGTTAGTTTGTATATTTTTTTTATATACAACTTAGAATGGCAAACAAGCTGACGGCCCACCTGATGGAAAGTGATAACTGTCGCCTATAGACATGAGCAGTACCATGGACATAACAGAGTATACTGTTTCGTCCTTGATTGTCCTCATGCGTTGCCATTCCTGAGGACTCAGGTGTTATTCCTCTGTACCCTGTAAATTCACGCCATATCCCATGCGCCATAGCCATGCAAACACAACTGCTTTACGGTTGAAACACGAATGAGACAGAGGTACCCATGCAAACGACTTTTGTACAACGTCTCCCTTTGGTTGAATCATTGAAAAATCACTTCAAGATATGCTGATAATAGTCTAACCCCTTTATTCATAAAATCTGAAACCTCTTACAAACCTATTTTAACTATTTCACTGTTTTATCACTTTCATTCATATTGAGAATTAAGCAAAAAGAAAGACAACATTTAAATAGCTAAAATAGGTTTATGAGAGGTTTGACGTTTTTATGAGTAAGGGAGTAAGACTCAAAATATCGCATGTACTAAGACCCTAAAGATAGGTAATAACTTTCCTTACAAATAGGTTGTTGTTGACTTACATCCGTCATCTGCAATAGTCTTGAATGTACGACAAATATATGCTTCCAGACGCTTGGTCTTCATCCAGTCATTCACCAAATTCGAGTCTGCTTCAGAGCAATTACTTGAAAAATATGTTGTAATACCCTTTAATAAAAATATTATTTTAGTATGCATATGTCAGATAAAATATTATATAATAATTACAATATAAATACAAGATTACACATACAATTATAATGTTCATAAAATATATAAATATAAATAGAAAATTATAATAAAAAGTAACTCCAACTTTTTCAAAATATTTTTATAATTTAATTAATTAGTAGTAATTTTATATCTGATTTATTCCAACGAAAACGGGCCACTCGACACGTGAAATGCATTTTTCATGGATATGTCATTATATATTTTTTCAGTGCTCAATTCACTTACAGTCAAAAGAGCAAATATAAAAATTAATAAAATATAATATTCAATTGGGATTACACTTAAAGTACTAAGATAAAAATTACAATTTCTCAAAAAGTAAAGTTGTACTTATTGATACAGTAACTCATCAATTGTGTACCTTTTAAATTCCAATTGGAAGAGCAAAAGATAAAAAAATAACAGGCAATGTGTTTCTGTTGTGCACCTTAGTTTATTTTTAACCGATTTCAAAAAGAAGGAGGTTCTCAATTCGTTTGATTGTTTTTATGTTTGTTACCTCATAACTCTGTCATTATTATTTTTTTTATCTGAAAGGAATTGCTTACAGATTAGTTGCAATGATAGAAATTTGATTAAAATGAGTTCAGTAGTTTAATTTTTAAATCAAAATAATTGGTTTTGCCACAATTGAAGTCAGTTTTTCTTTGGGAAAATTTAATTATATTGTACCTACATGAGTATGTATGTATAGATAGATACCTTATCAGCCAAGCCCAGACTAGTAAGTCTAGGTGTTAAACTATAAATAGCATTTTGTGTGTTCTGCCATAACTTAGTGATATGCGTCGTATCATTCTCATACGCTTTAGAAGCCTTCACAATTTTTTCAAAAGATTCTTTAGATAAATTTGGAATGAACTTTGTATCCCCGAAGCCTTTATAGTTACCACTATTAGCGAACAGACCACCAGCGTAAACAAGGAATGCCTGAAACAAACAAAAATCGTATAAATAGAACAACTGGCAAACACAAAACAGCATTAAATCATAAATAATAGATAAAAAGCAAATTATTAGGAAGATGATTTGGTATCTGTGATGTTATGACAGTTTTCTTACAAATATAGAGATGGATATAAGTCGTAAAGTACTTATGTTTCATATGTGCAATTCTTTGAGAATTAAGCATATCTCTAATTGCCTAGATATTACAAAAGTTAATTAATGATAGATTAAATTTTTTAGAAAAAAAAATAATTTTTATATTTTAAAACTTGTATTTATTATAATATATTATCAATTCTATAATGCAGACTGTGAATTAAAGTAAGTGTAAGTAAAGCACAAATTATAGAATATGACTAAAATATGCAGGAGATATTTAATTTCATTTCTACATGAATAACTTTTTTATCATCATATCAGCTATTATCTGTCTACTGCTGAACATAGGTCTCCTGTATAGAATGAAAGAAAAAGAATGGTCCCATCCCTTATGATAGTTTGCCACTGAAGAGATTTTGCCAATAGTTAGCAAGCTCGGCAGGCAGATCGGCAGCCACAGTCTGGCTTTATTATGATGTTTTAAAAGGGATGCTGCTGCCCATATAACAACTATTAAGTTCCCTTAGTTGCCTCTTATGACACTCACAGGAAAGGAAAAAGTGGGCAATTCTATGCTGGAACTATACAGCAGAATAACTTAAACAGAAAAATTTACCTGAAAATCATCTTCACTAACTCCAGCTTTTAAAGCAGACACTTTCAAATTCTCCAGTGATTCCCCAATAAAAATTCTATGCAATAAAGAAAAGATTCTTGGAGATTCTGGACTTGTCTGCATAAGTACTATGAGTCCACCATTCCATGCCGCCTAAAAAATAATAAAATACAATTAAAAAGAAAAATAGTTACAAATAATTAAACACAGGTGCTATTTGATTCCATCTGTTTTCCCATATATTTCTTCTAAACTACAGATTTTTTTATAAAGATTTCACTGTCATTTTAATAAATACATATTGTCCTCCCTTTTTAATCACCTACCTAGATATATATAGACATTGTTAAAAATAAACTATAATATACTTATATTATATAACTTATCTTAATGAATAATGTCCTCTGTCATAATGTTTGTTTATATTAATCTCTGAAGCTGTTCAATTCAACAAAATTGTAAATATCTATTATTTGCTGCAATATTCTGATACTGACAGAGATAGAATAGTTTTTTCCTTAATAAATGATAAAGATGGACCTGAGAGAGGGTAAAACAATGCTAGCTGGACCAGCTAATTATTTCAGATAGCTTAAAAACAACAGCCACTTCAATTAATATACATGTACACACATATATACATACATACACAATGATGTTTGCTTGATTTGAAATAGTAAAAGACATAGCATGGCATGTCCAGCAAAAAATTAATTGGAAAGTTTAGTTTCAACTTTCAAAGTTAATTAAATTGAATAAAATAAAGGAAAACTTACCTGACTCAAATAATGTGCATATAACTTTTCTTGTTTTGTCAAATTATTAAAAGCCTGTGAACTGTCTAATTCTACAAATCTTTGATTATTTGGCAATAAATAATTTGACTTATCAATTGCAGCCATTTCTGAAATGATAAAAATATACTATTAATGAGCTAATGTGAAATTAATATTATATAAATATGATTTTATATCTATTAAAAATTAATTTCATTAATACTTCAAAAATAAACTAATCTGTATTAAGTGGTAATTATACATCAATGAATAATAATTAATGATTTAAATATTTACTGACCGCTAACTACTTTTGCCTGTGTTGTTGTTTTAGACTGATTTGTTCTTGAAGAAAAGGAGCAATATTTGCTAACAAATGAATCAGCAGTAATAGAGCGCCGGCATTTTATAAGGTTATTAGTCAAGGTGCGCAACATTGAGGGCAGTCTGGAGTTTTAAATTTCGAATACAAACATATATTTCACTATAGTTATACTTACTGGCGTTTTATGCAATAAATTAACTTGAAAAATTATTAATCAAAATTAGTATTATTTGGGATGTTTCGAAATACTGTAATATCTAAATAAGATATGTAGATAAGGTTAATGAACGTTTATAGTGATGATCGACTAAGGCTGTATAGACTATTGATTGATACTTCCTATTATATATTAATTTAATCGAGTACACAGGGTACTAATTTCGTTTACTTATGGTAAATGGACAATAGTCGCATATTTATCATAATTATTATTTCTTAACAATTACTAATCGTGTCGTAAATTGTCAATAACAAAATTATAAACTAAGTGAACATTTACTACCTTCATTTTAATGATCAGAAATTTATTTTGAAAAATAGTTTGTCTCATAAACTCTAATCGATATTTTATATCATTACTCATATATGTGATTTTATTATACTAGACAATACATTAATTACTTTTGGACCACCGTATATTAGATAAAATTTTATGATATCTTTAAAACAAAAGAAAAACAATATTCAATTTTGTTTTAGTATATGTGTGTGTATAAAGTTGAATCAGTATTCAATTTTTTTATAGAGCATTTATATATTTTCTTATATAATAAAATAATTTAGCACATCACTAAATTGTGGTACAAAATGTCACAGTGACAATTGATGTTGCAGGAACTAGAGATAATAAAAAAAATTGATACAATAAATCTATAATCTATACCAGAGGTGGCCGACTTGAGTAGACCCTAGATCTACGGTTTACTAACAAAACGTACAAACTACCAATTACATACTTTTTGAATTCTTAAAAAAAAACGCTGTAGTTTAGTACACAGTTATAGTATTTTTTTTATACCACTGAGGTGGCAAACAAGCATACGGCCCATTTGATGGTAAGTGGTTACCGTAGCCTATGAACACCTACAATACCAGAGGTATTACGCGTGCGTTACCAACCCTGAATAACCCTCTTTACCCCCCTTTTGAAGAACCACATGCTGTATCTCTATTGAGTTTTTTGGATTCCAGTTTCACCTTATCTTCGAGGTGGCCACGGAATTGTTCTAGAGATGTCGATACCAAGGATCCCAATGCTTTTAGAGATGTTAAGAGACGTGCCTTGAAACTGTGGAGCTACAGCATTGTAGTATTTTTTAAATCTATTAAGAGGAAAAACATAAAACTGAAAATTATTCTTAGTAACTACTTATTTATATTAGTGTGAGCATTGCGTCTGATCATATTTCGCTAGATTAGCAAAATATTATATTCTTTGCCTTGCCCCGATGATCTAATAGTCACGGTCGACTGGTAGATCGCGATGTACCGGTCAATCGCGGCTATTAGACCTAATCTATACATTTAAGAAAGTTAAATGCACTTCACTTTCCTCATTTTCTATGACGCAGACACAGTCATTTGTATTAAAATAGTAATAAGTAATCGGTTTCAGTAAATACATAAATTAAAATCGACAGCTAACAATTTTATTTTATTCGACTATTACAAATTGTTTACGATATTTGTTTGGACACTGGGAATTTATTTGGTAGGCAACTAGCACCTGTAGACATAATACTACATACTACCTACTGCAGTTTAACTTATCATTTAACATACATCACATACTTGACTGGTTTTAAACTTAATACTTAACATTAAAAACGTAACATATTTGGAGTACTGTTTTGGCTAATGTAAACGTAGCTTTAAACTGTGATTTTAATTGTACCAATGCAATATAATTTTTTGACGATTTTTCTACTTAATTGGTACCATTAGTTTTATACCGATTCAAATATTTTTATTTAGTTTTACTAAATTGATTCAAAATTTGTGATTCAAGCATCAATTATCAGTAATCAATAAAAATTGACTAGTCGATGATATCTGATGATAGCGAAACCCTAGTTTAGATTTCGCAATCCGAACGAACTTAATCATCATGATTGAAGTAAACATTCAACATGGTAGCTATTTCGTTATTATCATCCGCATTTTAGGTCAAATTAATTGTTTACGATGAGTGTATAAAGTTTAGGTCACTTGTTAATATTCTGCGAAAATGTCGTCGGAAAGGTAACTTAATTTTTAATTGATTACTGTAATATTTTTGGGAAATCGCTTCCTGTATTCGTAGTTGAAAGTTGCAAAATCAATAAAGTATACGGAAATCGCTAATGTCACGCCCTGAATTCGTATTATATTGTTGCTGTGTTCTTAATATATTAGAGGTGAAGTTAAATTATTACTATGTTCTATTCCAGGGTGGAATGGGTGGAAATTATAGAGCCCAAAACAAAGGAGCATATGTATGCTAACCTCACAACGGGAGAATGCGTTTGGGATCCACCGGAGGTAAAGTTCTTTCACGTCATTAACTTGATATTAGATATGTTTAACATTTGGATCAAACTTATTATCGTAGTGATTAATTTCCCATCTGTAATTCCTTTTAATAAATTTTTGAATTTTGTATAATTGTAGCATTTATCTTTAATTGTAATAAAATATTTGGAATTACCATTAAACTAATTTATTGTAATGGGACTGTTCTCTTTATTGAACAATACATATGTTTACTCAATAGGTAAGCACTTTCAATTTCAAAGTCAAGTGGAATTGTAAGGTCACTATTTTCATTCATTTTACCAATTTGTTGCAAGAATGCCTCTTTTTTTCTCCTTGAATAATATCCTATATACTGTAATATTTTGGTATCTGGGTCATCTTAGGTATAATGTTAATAATATTTCTAATTTATGGCTAGGCATTGTATGAAACATATGTCATAGTAATTATTTATCATACAATGTTTATTTTTTTACAGGGAGTTAAAGTAAAACGGACAGATTCATCACAATGGTGGGAACTTTTTGATATTAATACACACAGATTTTACTATTACAATGCTTCTACACAGGTTTGTTCTTGTTTATGATTAACAGTTCTCATGTAATCAATTGTGATAATATCTTTAATGATAAAAATATATTTTTTGCAGACAACTGTGTGGCATAGACCCACAGACTGTGACATTATACCCTTAGCAAAATTACAAACTCTGAAGCAAAATACCGACCCTCAGAAAAGAAGAGAAACCTCTACACAGACTAATCTTGCTGCTCCTCAGGTGAATTGTGTTATTTTTTTTACTTTTTGTTTTAGTGATATTTAGTTTATTACTGTTCCCCTCATTTTTAAAACCTTGTACATGTTTATAACATATTAAAATTATGTGTGTAGGTATTATAAATCTCTGTGTAGAAGCCACAAAAAAGTTCTTATAGATTTCTTATTTGTACTTATCTTCATTTGTTTATTTGATACTTATATGAATAAGTGAAGTTGATTTAAATAGATTTTTTTAGTATCAATTTAAATTTAAATAAATATATGTTTTATATAAATATTGATATAAAGAGATCAAATCTCTGTATATACTCTTTTAATAAAACTATTAAAAGGTAACCAAGTGTTGTTGAAATAATCATGGATACACTAAATAAAATTACTAACAAATCAAATCAATTATTTAATTAATCAATTTTTTTATTTGTACTACTATTGGACATTAGCAGACAGTCAGATCAGTCTTATTATATGGACAATTATTTATTTGTTCACAGTTTTATTAAATTCTATAGAAACAGATTATAAATAGTTTATAAGCTTCTAATGAGTTACTAATATATTTCTAAAATTAGGTGCCACCTACAATCGATCCAGTCAGCAGTAATGGGAACAGTACTGTTGCAAGTGCCAGCAAATTATCACCAAGCAATGCTAAAAATGTTACCATTACACAGACTAGTCCTGTGCGCACTAGGAGATCACATTATCACCATCGGTAAGCAATTATATTTAATTATTTTTTGTTAAGACTATATCCTGTTTTTAATTTTGTTATTGTGGATACTTTACTTGGGTGACTATGCTAGCTACTTAGGGAATGATTGTACTTAAGATTTGTTAATTTGGTTTATTGGGAATACTCACATACATTATTAAGTGTTTTGTATTTTGACTGAAAATCACCTTAAAATTACATTAATGCTTTCATTGCTTAATGATTAATGAATAATGACGTATCAGCCCGAATCTGATGTCTAAGATTGTCACTCTTGTTGCATTCCACAAACAAATGTAAAATGCTTGCTTGTTTCTTTGGTTTCTTATGGGAAGAAAAGGAGAAGCACAATGATCAAAAGAGTGACTAAGCTCTTTTTGTACATACATAAATACAAATTTTATTAAGAATTTATATTATTAGAAGATTATTATAAGTTATGTTATGTTTTAAAATAGAACATATACATTTTTTCCAAGTGGTTTGAACTGGACTTTTAATTTATGATTGAATTGTAGAAAGTTTGTTTATTGAGGTATTAAAAATAAACAAATTGGTTTCTATTTGCTGTCATCTATAGCTTGATAGACAAATTTGCTGTTTGTTTCTTATCCCAATAGGGAATTGATGTGAAGATATAAAAAAAGTTTGAATTAATCTACAGAATATTGGAAAAATACAAAATCACAATAATAAATCAGTGGAATTTATGTTCATGCCAATTATACAGAAAGTAGTTACAGTTAATAGTTCATATCCAATATGTTATCACTATGAAATTAGGTCATTCTATCATCATTATTTATTAACATTAGCTGGCCCAATATGTGACCTTTCTAAATTATATTTCTTTTCTATAAACTATAATAATCCATAGGCTCATATGTGACCATTGAATGTTGACCATTGTTACTTCTCAACAACTAGTTACAAACAAATTTTCTTATATATTTTTTTTGTTTGATAATGGAATGGTAACCCTGCCTGTGCTAACAGTATACGCTAGTGGGCCATCAGTAAAGAATGAAAGGTAAGGATGAAAAGACAGGTCAGTTAGTCCATTGTGATTAATACATTTGGAATTCAGCACAATTGTGGTTTCCAGAGAGGACCACGGGGAGGTCGACCTGACATTTATATTAGGTTATATTCGTCGCCCAGACAGGCCAGCAATGGGACTGGTAGTCCACATTCTAATACTTTATCGCGCCTCCCCACATTTTTCCTATAATATTAGTAATGATAAGGATTTAAATGAAAAATACGACATAGATGATGAGACGAGGAGCGGAGCATTTAACTGTTCGCAAAGACATCCCTGAAAGTTCATATGTGTCTTATTTAGGAGACCCGACTGCCCCTGAAACGTTATCTTGATACACCAATGATTGTAACCACAATAAATTGTCCAGGAACAGCGGAGAGAGTCGACGTGGTAGGTTGAGTGAAGATGGTACTACACAATTGTGTCGGCATACAGACTCTGGCCGCTCGTCAGATAGTAGCCTTAGTAGTGCCCAGCAGCGACGGAAACAGGTATTTTTCTCAAGTACAGACTTTATTTATTTAGATATAATAGCTTAATTAATATAAGCTTTTGTTATCTGTGACTTCGTTCGCGTGACTGAAAATGTTCACTGGCTCGTATAAAGAATAGCCTATACCTACTCTATCCCATATAGTATGAGTACTTAAAAATTTTACAGTATTGCCATTAAGACGCCAAACAAACAAACTCACGTTCACATTTGTAATAATAATATTATTAGGGATTATTACATGTTTGTCTATGCATAGTTTTGATAGCAGATATATTAAAGCATCGATACCGTATTACACCATTAACGTTGATAAAATGTCAACCATACATAAACAAAATATAATTTTTTAGTACACAGAGAACATAATATAATCTTTATTTACATAAACTTATTTTTGCATACTTTAAGTCGTCACTTTTTTGTATTCTATCACTGGATACAAAGTGTTATCTGCTGGAAATAATTTGTAAGAAATTCAGCAACTAATTTAAAACCGATTTATGTACGTAATAAAATATTTTTTTATGAGTACAAAGACTAAATAATATAAACAAACTCAATATTATTTAAAGTAAAATTTATTTCATTATAATAAAAATATTAATCTTTTTTTTTCATTTCGTTATTATAAACTCTATAATTAATTTACAACAATAAAATAATTTCATCATTATCATAGTCGCCGTTGACTGTTCGCTGTTGAACATAGTTCTATTGGAGGGTTTTGCCAGTAGTAGCCATGTTTGGCAGGCGGGTTGGTAACTGTAGTTTTTTTTTAATAGATGATAATGGAATGGTAGCCCCGTTTGCGCTAACGGTATACGCTGGCGAAGCACCAGTGAGGGATGATATGTGAGAATAAAAAGGCAGGTCAGTTAGCCCATCGTAATTAATTTACCTGGTATTTAGCACGATAGTTTCCAGGGGGGCCACGTGGAGGCTAGCAATGGGACTGGTAACCCCCCCCCCCCCCACCGGCAACAGTAGTTGGGCTTTGGTGCTACCCTTCCGATTATTAAGTATAATAAAACAATAATGTGCAAAAATAATATACTAAAATAATTAAGTTTTGCTATGTAATTTGTTGTACGGATTTGATATTAAAACATCAAATTATTCATTAATTGCTTGCGTCCTTTTCATTCAGGAGATGACGGCCGCGGCCGCTTGTACGCCGCAGTTGCGAAAGCGCACTGCCGCGCCCGCGCACCCATCGTTGCATGAACCCGATAAGTGGTCGCCACACTCAGGTGTTTATTACAGCTCTATTTCTGTTTTAACGATTAATTACAATTATTTATATAATATGCTTTACCCACGTCTCCGTCCGCGACCGGCATATATTGATTGACCGGTATAAATAATAGCTTTTACAATTACCTATTCCAAACATTATATATATTATTTATATTCCAAATATAAATTTTTGTGACGATTGGTTAACTTGTTATAGAACTAAAATAGTTAACAACTAGAATAGTTTGTGGGTTGGGAAAAAGAAAAGTGTTCTGTTTAAGTTTTTTCAAGGAATTGTAGATATAAGAATTTACGTAAGAACCTTTCTAGGTTATTATGAAGACAAAAATTGGATTATAAGAATTATTTAAAAGAAACAATTGTCGAATTAGTTCAGCAGTTTGGCGCTTAGTAACACATTTGGCAATTTATTTTTAATTATGTATTTTATGTAATATATACAGTGTTCAATGCGACTGCTTTATTTTGAAGTTCATATTACTTCGGTCCCTTTATCGTATTACTTTATTGACATTGGGATCGATGAATAAAGTCTCTTTGAAATGTTTTGGTATACAACCTCCTTTCTGCTTTTTTACATCAAGTTGATTAAATTATTAAAAACTTAAAAAACCCAATGAGCAAAACAAAAAGATTGAACCAAATTATTATATCTTTTTTATAAACTTGATGATTATTCAAAATGTGTTCTTGTAGTGAACTAAAATAGCACAAGTTGCTCATAAATATATAATAAAAAAAAATTAAATCTGCTTCAAAATCATGCAGTACATTTTACAATTAAAATTAAAAAAATTCTGTGACAGTTTAAGATGCAAGAATTATTCAGAAATATTGAATATTGTTTACTTGTTTTGAAAACTGAGAAAATAGATCGTGCCAGACATCAATATAAACACTCTTAACTAACGTATTTGTTTATCTATTTTCAGGTTTAAACAGGAGTGGCAGTTTTATATCGCCCCGTAAGGACGCCTCTGATGATTCCATGCATGAAAAGTATTTCAAATCTGTTGAAAGTACACCATTAACAAGACGCAAGGTAATTGATTAATGTTGGTTTATTTATTAGGAAATATACTTTACCATATTAGAAAATATTTTGTTTATTTAGTAATGAATAATATCAGATTTCTGAGTTCTTGTTTAAACATGAAAATTAATATAATTATATAAAAAAAATCACAGGTTTCACAGACCAATGTTGCCAATTTGTTACTAAGTCGTATAAAAAGGAAACTATATCTTCTCTATACATTCTCTTTATATTTACGAGTACTTGAATGTACATGTTCTATGTTTGTGTCAGTGTTTTATATAATTATTGTTACTTTTTTTTCAGTTAAAGCAGCAATCAGGTGGCGGTTCTTCATGTGACTCAGCGTCGCCTCAGAGTCCGAGTAGTCCGTTGCAGAAACCGCAACCTACACCATTCTTGCAGGTTAGTGTTCAAAAATATAAAGTCGTGTCTAGAATATCAACATGAAAATTAAATAGCGTATTATTATGGATCTTGAGTCATTGCAGATTGTGAGTGCAGGATATAGCTTTCGTGATATGATTTGGGTTCTTGTTTTGTTAGATCTTATCTTTATCCATTATTGATTGTTTAACTTAACATGATAATTGTATTAATTGAATATAAAAAAAAAAATTGGTCTTGTACCGCCATGTGTGGTTCGGTATAGAATGGGCCACCCTTTCGTTTCCCGCGGGTGTCGTAAGAGACGACTAAGGAAGGGCAAGGGATGGGCAGTAGCATTCCTCTTAAAACATCTCTAAAAGCATAACTGCAGTTGCCAACCCACCTGCCAAGCGTGTCAACTACTGACAAAGCTCCCCTTATGGGTGGAGGCTTATGTCCAGCAGTGGACAGTTAACGGTTAAAATAATAATAATATCAGGTCTTGAATTTATTATAATATTGCCCACATGAATTTACTGAAACTATTTACAAATATAACAATTAGACATAATAGTAGTCGATTTGAATAGTGTAAATAGTGGGATAGCGTTAGTTTTTCTTTAATAAGTAATAAAGTCTCTATTTGTTTGAAAAAGTGACAACTATGTTTCTTTCCTGTTCTATTCTGGCAGTTGGTATATATAAACGTTGAATGCACTTAAAAAGAAATACAAGAATGAAAATAATTTATATTGTATTCTATACTGTAAATTAAGAATTTAGCACACGATAGATCTAATAGCAGCGGTTTCGCGGCTGTTGTATCGCGTTTTGTACACAAAATTTGTAGGGTATTTGTAGATGTAGGGATCATTTATTTGTTTATACTTTTGCACACATAACAAAATGTTTACAGGGCGGACTTAATGCCTGATGGCGTTCTCTACCAGTCAGATCTAGAATATATTTGGTTGTTTTATTGAAATCACTTATTTTAGCGATTCCTTTGATGTTTTTTCGTATTATTGTTTGGAGATTTATTTTTTGTTTGATCAGGATACTTATAATAAAAAAGTGCTTTTAGCGATTCTTTCGATGATTTTATTCCTGTAACGACATCTATCGTCGTCATCGACATTTTCATGAGGTTTTTTTGATGATCATTTTGTTAGACGATGTCGGCGCGGCCCTCGTTGGTATCGTCGATATCTCTGGCGACTGAAGCAGCTGGCGGTGGATCGCGCGTACTACACAGCCTCGAGCGGCCACACCAGCTCTCCCGGCATGCACGCGAGAGGTACTCCGACAGGTAAGTCGTGGATACTATTAATTTTATAAGATTTATCTTATTAAGAGTCTGAAATCGATGGGCTTTCATGAGAAGAGTTGTGAAAGTGTAAGAAGTAAAAGTAAGGATAGGGGTATTTGGTAATTGTTTTTTTTTATGGGTGAAAATGGTATGGTAACCCCGCCTGCGCTCACGGGATACGCTGGCGGAGCACCAGTGAAGGGTGATAGATGAGAATGAAAACAGGCCAGTTAGCCCATCATGATGAATTCATCAGAAATTAACCATGATAGTTTCCAGGCGGAACCGCGAGGAGGTCGACCTGGTTGGCTATATTGCTAGCAATGGAATTCTTAGTCTCCATTACTAACAATCCCTTTCCCCCCTGGTACTTGGTTTTCTCTGCCCGCAATGTAAAGCATTCACCGTAAAGATAAATATAGCAAGAAAACAAGGTAATGTTTTGTTAATAAATATAAAGGGTATAAATATAAATTCGAGATTATAACATTTAAAAGATATGAAGATGAATTCTTAATATGTAGATGCGTCTGTATATGTTTATTGTTATTTTTTGTAATTAAATGTAGAATTAAGAACTAAATATTTTTCTAAACATGTCTCTAAAGCCGCGTTCAAACGTTATTAAATTTAATAATACTAAAAAAATAACTACACTGGTATTTTAGAAGCATGCTTGTCTAATATGATTATATTTATTTTTTATAACTATTAGTTTCATTGATGTTATTTTTAATACAATGTACAGGCATTTAGACAAAGACCGCTTAGCTGAGTTGGAGCGAATGGACCGGTATCCTGAGAAGCAGGCGGTATATAGTGTAGACAAACCTTTCCGGCAGACGAGCCTCGATCTGCGCCATAACGCCGCCAATTGGCATCCTGCTAGAGAATTCACTAGGTCCGTATGGGTATTTTAGTTTTTAAGGATTTATACTCAATAACATAATTTTGATTGATACAGATTCTGACTTATATGTAATGATCACAAGTAATTATCTGCCATATGAATTAGGCATTTAGGTAATGAATAATTCTCTTTTTAATCCTCATAAAATATTCTTTTAAGTTTTTACATATTTCTTGAATAGCTTATTTTGTAAAATTATGTCCCAAATGTTTTAAATAAATATTGTCTAGTGTCTTGAGTCTAATCCCAAATTTTTAATAAAGAAATATGTACGAATTATATTAAAATATTAAACAAGTTTTTGAATTTTATTTTTTATAATGCGAGTGAAAACATTGATAAATGTTTTGTTTAACTAACTTTATGCCCGTTACTTCATATGTATGGTTTCAGAAGTAGAAAACACAATGAAATAGACCATTTTTTCTGGATTAGATCTTCAGGAACACAACTATGAAAGCTACATCCAATTTGGATTAGTTTTTACTTGATGTCGAAACAAACATACAAGACAGACAAAATAAAAAAAAAATGTTTTGGTCTCTGTTATTCTTATTAAGAGTTAATTTTTCTTAAATATCTTCCATATATATTAATAAGATTGAATACTCTTTTATACAAAGAAACTAACTTTATTTTATTTAAACAAATCAAATAATGATTTTTTTTTATATAACTTAGAATGGCAAACAAGCTGACTGCCCACCTGATGAAAAGTGGTAACCGTTGTTTACAGACATGAGCATATAGACATAACAGAGTATACTATTTCGCGCATGATACCCCCCATGCGTTGCCATTCCTGAGGACTGTTATTCCTCTGTACCCAGTAAATTCACGCCATATCCCACCCTTCAAACCGAAACACAGCTATGCAAACACAACTGCTTCAAATTGCAACAAATTGAATATTTTCTGTATGCTTGTATCTTTAGATGAGGTCGTATTTGGTTTGCAGGCGTCAACAAGCGGAGCCGGAGCGGTACTCGTCGAGCAAGGCGTCGGTGACGTCGTCGTCCGGCAGCGGCAAGCAGCGCTCGCACGAGCCGCACCACAACTTCATGCGCCTCTCGTCCGCCAACGAGCAGGACAACATCGCCGCTGGTATGTATCACTTATCTTTAATTAAAATATTAACTAAATAGCTGTTGACCTCAGTTTTGCTCGCACAAACACGTCTTTCGTTTCAGAGGGCCTACCATGAAATGTTTTCCGAAATTTCGGAGTCAAACGAAACAGTTGTTAAAATTACATAATACATGCCGTTTGGAAATATTAAAAATGTTAAAATATTGTTCTTTTGGACTTATGATAGGATGTATGACGAACGAAATGTTCAACTCCATTTATTGGTCCGATTTTGGTATAAACAAAAACACGAAATTGAACCCGAAAATTCGGAATTTCATTTCATGGTGGGCCCCCTGTTTAAACTTCAAGAAGTCATGAGATCTATATTAATAACTATTATTCTGCGGCTTCACCCGCGTGAGTGATATAAAGTATCCTGTGTGCTAAATTACGATAAGTTACTTAAATTTCATTTAAATCTATTCAGTAGTTTTTGCCTCAAAGAGTAACAAACATCCATTCATCCATCATTATAAACTATTGCGTTTATTATATATTTTTTTAATAGATGATAATGGAACAGTTAACCCCCCCCCCCCCCCCCGCGCTATCACTATACATTGGCGGGCACCAGTGAGGGATGATAACTGAAGATAAAGACAGTTAGTTCGCCCATCGTGACAAATTAACTATGAATCAATCGCGATTGTTTCTAGGGGAACCACGAGGAGGTCGACCTGATAGGGTATATTGCTAGTAATAGAGTTGCGCTTTTATTATATTAATAGGATACAAAGTTTCTACTAATCCTAACTATTTAGACTGTGGAATGTAATAAAAGTTTTTATATTACATAGATTACAGCAAGCCCCTATGGATTGTTTTTTTTAATAGGTGGTAATGAAATGGTCACTCCTCCTGCGCTAATGGTATACGTTGGCGGGGCACCAGTGAGGGATGATAGGTGACGATGACGCCCATCAGTTAGCCCATCGTGACGAATTGCACTAGAATTAACCACGATGGTTTCCAGGGGGAATTACGTGGAGGTCGACCTGATAAGGTGTATTGCTAGCAATGGGGCAATTAGACCCCATTATTAACAATCCTTTCCCCTCCCCCTATGGATTGTTGTTATGCCCCTATCAGGTCAACCACCGCGTGTTCCCACCCTGGAAACCATCTGTGTTATTTCTTGAAGAATTTGTTAACATGGGCCAACTAATCTGATTTTAATCTCTGGTCGTTAGCATGGTAATGAAACAGTCCTAAGAGGTGGTGGGCATAGAGTTGTAGTGTATGTGTCAGGTATTCGTAGTATAATTTCTGATGTAATGCACTTATTAGGTGTTTTTATTTTAACAATGATTTTCTATTCACAGTTAATTACAAAATGAAATGCGTCAGCTTAGAGCCTCCGCTAACTGAACCAAATCTCCAGAAACATAATCAGCGTCTTGAAAGAAACCCTGCACCGCGCGACCGCACCAAATCTCGACGTAAGTTTATTTATTTATGAGATTTATTATAATACTAATAATACAAGATGTTTTTAACAATAAATATGTTTCAGTATATTTTGATATTACATAGCTTTTTAGACGTTTTTTTTAATTGAAGCATTTGGTGTTCCATTGTTTCTGCCTATTGGGAGACAGGCGTGACAGATATGTATTTATATATGTATAGCTTTTTATTGGAATCTTAAAACATAATTTAATTCAAATACTTCACAAGTAATGTTTACTTGTGACTTTGTCGATTAAATGGGATAATATTAACCCATCTTTTTATCACAAATACTTATGCATACAAAATTTCATGATTATTGCTTGATCCGTTAAAATCCCAATAGGTGAAAAACAAACTCATTTTCTTATTTATAATAATAATAAGGATACCTGTTTTAAATATTTCTAAAGATACATACATTACATACATACAATAGAAATAATCTTTATTCAAATAACTTGTTTACAAGCACATTTTTTATGATTCTACTGCTGGGCTCGCAATGTTATTTGCTGAGAAGAACCTGCATGATACTCAACAGTATATATGTTCTTGTGTATTTGTTACATGTAACTTAGCATGTTTATATATTTACATTATATTATTAGTAAATACACATGTAGTACATGTAAATAACGAAATTAGAAATTATCTAATTATGACTGGAACCACTGACACATTATAATCTCTCAAAGTCCTAAACTAATATAAGATGCGTCAACAAGTGTTTCTTATCAGTATGCTCTGTGTTGTTCTAAGAGCGAATTGTGTTTATCTTATGTACATGATTGTATAAAGTAAGCGTAACGTTTTAAAGAAATATTTATGTGATTCATTCTGAAATCAAAAAGAAAAAGGAATACTTGTCTATTTGGGTAACTAGTTGTAAAAAATTATTTTATTTTTTAGTTATTTTCTTTTGTTGTAATTTTATAGAATTTGAGTCTATTATATGGCTTTGAATAAATGAACATTACTATTAAATAGTTTTAACCCTATATAATGTATCATATAATTTTAAAAATTTTATTTATAACATAATTTACAAGATTTGACTTTTAAATATGATTCAGTGTTTTATATCTTAAGTATGTTTTAAAGTTTAATATATTGGCCGGAAACGAAAAGTGATGTCACCAGATGATTCCTAAAGTATACATATAATAGGATGTAATAATCATAATTCGGGTATTATCTCTAAACCTATTACTAAAATCAAATTATTGATGCATGTTTTAGTGAAAATGTTATTTCACTAACAACAAAAAACAAAATTTTCTGGGCTTATGTAAATCCTGACTAAATTTGATTATAAATTTAGTTCATACTGGTGGTTATAGTAATAATGTTGTTGTAATAAAAAAAAAAAACGATTTTAGTTATCGAGAATAGTATTTCAAAATCGAATTTAAATCTTTATTTCACAATATTTTGTATAGTTGTTGAAATTGGATGTTTTGCAATAATTTTAATAAATTGATTTAAGTATTATATTGAAATTATGTTGATATACCATATTTTGTGATAGTGGGTTCAGTCGCTAAACCACCAATATATAATATACAAGTAAACTCATTTTCAGGTTTATAATATTAATATATTATAGTATGATTGAATGAAAACTATTTATTGTTCCCTTCAAAGAATGATGCAGATTATAAAGATTAATAATATGCAAACAAGAAAAAATCATAAACTTAATTACATAAAAGTGAGGTAAAGTGGCAAGAATGGGATAAATAGCGATGTTTTTTCAGGAAAATGGAATAGAATGGAGAGGAATAATTAAAATTGTGTCTGGTCAAGCCATCACAGAAAAATAATAAAAAAGGGGCTCAAGATGAATTTAAACGTCGTATAAATAATATATATATATATATATATATATATATATATATATATATATATATATATATATATATATATATATATATATATATATATATATATATATATATATATATATATATATATATAATATACTTACACATAATAATAAAAAAATACTTATAATGTACTTACTTACATAAATAGACGTATATATGAAGATAGTGATAAAAATATGAATATACATATATAAACTAATATAAAAATAATTAAATATATATATATATATATATATATATATATATATATATATATATATATATATATATATATATATATATATATATATACATACTAATATACTGTATTGGGTATAAGGACAGTGATGATTTTCTTAAATAACAAATTTTTACTTGGAACTTAAAATTCCGTTGATTATAATATATCTTACAAAATTATAACAAATAATATAAAAAAATATTATTAGGTCACAAAAGGCCAGTGGATATGGAGGAAGTACCAATGGATGGCGAGGAGGAAGAGGAGGAGGGAGGAGGCTCCCCCCTCTACTGTAACTGGGATCTACGCGGCATGCAGCATCTCCTACCACTTCAGGACTACATCATACAGCAGGCCAAATTATCAAGTGAGTTGCTGTTGTTTTTACACTAAACAACCATGGTTGGCCAAAAGTTAATGAGCCTATCTTATGTTACATGAAAGAATTCATCTGAACTAAGAGGAAGGGCTTTAAAATGTTCTTTACCATTGTATATACTATATGCACCCATTTTGTGTTATTATGGCACACGCATGAAGGAAATGAAAGAAAGGAAATTGTTGGTTTATATATTTTGCTTTTTGTTTTTTTTTGTTTTGTTGCTTTTTTATTTTCATTCTTTTATCTCTTTTACTGTGTATTATGTGTATGTTTGTATTATAATTTGTGTGCTGTAAGTAATGTAAATAAATTATCTATCTATCAATACTAATAAATTATTACTATTTATATTTTGAAATAAAGTAGTGTCTCTTATTTATAGAGCTCAATAGTTTAAATTCATTTATTGAATAGGGGGTAAACATGTGCATCATATAGTTTTTATTTGTTACTTTTGTAAGTTACTGTAGCATGATACATTATCAAACGAATTTATTATATTGAAAAGCAAAATATGTATAATTGCATAAAAACACAATCACGATATTTATATTTATGGAACTTTAGACGGATCTCTAAGGACTATAAAGATGTATTATAAAAGCGTCTAATATAACTTGTCTCTCTTTTGAAGGTCGTGGTCGATACGGCGGGTCGGGGTCGGACGGCGAGTCCGGTTCGTCACGATCTCACTCGCGGTCCGGCTCTGAGTCCCGCTCGTTATCGGGTCACGAGCCGGACAACGAGTCGTCCGACGGCGGCGCTCGGACGCCAGACGATGACGACGGCTCCGGAGTTTATCTACCGCATTCTTATGCGCACCGCCCGTCCGACGTCGAGTACATGAACCACGGAGTCTCCTATTATAATACGTTTGTTGGTTTCGACCGGGATCGACAACCCTCACCGGGAATACATAGGGTGAGTATTTTTTTATGCAGCTTGGATTGGCAAACAAGCTGGACTATCTTATGAAAATTGATTTATTATTTTAAATATATTTTAAATTATTTAGACATATTTGACAGCAGTGTTTCAAATTATCAAAATTATCATTTTGGGGGTAAATTAATTTTCATATTGCTAGAATACATATTTTGTGTGATTAGTTGTATTAATAAATAGGGTGAATTTAAAATTATCTAACTAATGGCAAACCGATTCTACTTAATTATTGGTTTTAATTTGTAGTGTGCACCTTGTTAAATAATATTACTTTGTGCAACTATTAAAATTTAGAACAAAAAAATAGATCACTGTTATCCTTATTATGTTAATTTAGAGATATTAGGTAAACTGTATCTTTTCTACAATGAAAAGGATGCAACAGAATTCTATAGCTTGTTTAAGTAGATTCAATTTTATAATAATTTTGGTATGTATTGATCAGACATCGTCGCTGGGTGGCGGCGGCACGGGAGCTGGTAGCGGAGCGGGTGGTGCGGGTAGCGGGGCGGGTGGCGGAGCGGGAGCGGGCGCGGGCGCGGAGGCGGGCGGCGCGTTGTACAGCCCGGTGCGTGCGCACGCGCACTTCACACGCCCGCCGCCTCCCGAACAGGACATCGAGATATTCGCCAAGGACAACCTTAACTTCAACAAGGGCATATTTAGGAGAAAAGTTAGTTCACTTTTATATGAATTTTTACTTATGTAATTGAATTAACCTATATAACATCTGTATCTGTTTGCCCAATGGTTGATTGGTAGAGAACATCATTTGGTACTAAGTACGTCAAATATAAATATAGTCATATTTTTATTTATTTAAACTTTAATGAATACGTATTAAAGCTTAAATAAATAAATGAACATCAATTTTTTCTCCACTGTGGTATATCAGCATAGTAGTTGTTACTGGTAATTTGACCAAAAGGGGGAAAGGGATTGTTAGTAATGGAGACTGAGAATCCCATTGCTAGCAATATACCCAACCAGGTCGACCTCCTCGCGATTCCCCCTGGAAACTATGATGGTTAATTCCTGATGAATTCATCATGATGGGCTAACTGGCGTGTTTTCATTCTCATCTATCACCCTTCACTGGTGCTCCGTCAGCGTATCCAGTTAGCGCAGGCGGGGTTACCACACCATTTTCACCCATAAAAAAAAAAAAAAATTGACCAAAAAAAATTAGTTGGTCATATTTTTTTAATTTTATATTTTGATACTCTGTGTGTATTTTGTTTGATATATCTGTTTTGACGTTGTTTGTGCGTGCCACAGAAGTGTTGGTAATTTTTAGCATTCATTATAACACTCTTGTAATGTGTGACTGGGGTGACGAGATGTCATAGCGTCGGACTGTGGCAATGCAATTTATTAAAATAGTGTTTTACGCAAAGCAATATGAATCCTATGCATTAAATGTGCCATATGCATATCGTAAGGCAGTAATCAGACATCCAAAATTGACCTTGTGTGACCCATAATATATATTCTTTCCAGGCGTCAGTTCGGGATATGTTGTCGTGGACGTCATCGTCAATCAGCGCTCCCATGGTGGGCGCGGAGTGGGACAAGGCGCACAAGAAAGCAGCCATTGATCTGTTCCGATTAGTGCAGATTTATATGGGCGACCGTAAGGCGCGGCCCGGCATGACACTAAACTCCGTCGCCCAGGATATATTGCACGCCACGTTTACTAACGAAAAGTAAGTGCAATAAGTGAATGTGAGTTGTAAAATAGGAGAGAGTGAAATTTTATAAGTTTTGATAGATTAATCGTACTAATTTTATAAATGTGAAAGTTTGTGACGTTGTCTTTATGTTTGTTACTTAATTATGCCTAAATGGATTTGAATCTATTTTGTTTTATGTATCAATTAAATTCTAACTTAACATATACAATACTTAATCACGGCATAAATATGCCGACAAAGTCAGGAAACGGAAACAGATATGTAAAGCTTATACCCACAGAACGGATTTTAATTGATATTGCCGTGTTTGGAATTTCATGTGTTGCAATAAATTACAGTGACAGCCGAAGTTAACTGCGCTCGGTAGCGGCGACAGCTTAATTGCGGTTAGGGGATTCCAAGATCGTATTTCAGTGTAATCCTTTGAATTTTCAAATTCATGTTCCGTTAATTTAAAAATGGTTATCACTCATTTCGCGCTACGGTGAACACGTAAATTCGTTGTACAGTAAGCCACGTTACAGACTACAGTGTACAGCGAAGGTGGCTTAGAAATTTGATAACCTTACGCTAGTAGTGCGATTAAAGGGCATTTATATGAACAACATATGTTGTGTGCACTGTAGTAAGTCATAGAAAGAAAGAAAGAAAGAAATATTTTTATTGAAGTAAACTTAGATTTGAGCATTTTTCAATATTTTTCATTACCGCTCATTTGGAACACAATTTTAGCAATGAAGAACATACAAGAAGGCTGTTGCTTTTTTTTTAACTATATAAATAATTAATTTGTGTGGATACAAAATACTAAATCAGCAACCTATGAATACATACATTTATGCGTTTATAGGTTGCGGGACGAGTTGTACGTACAGTTGTGCCGGCAAACGACGGAGAACCCTCTGCGGGATTCGCTTCTACGCGGTTGGGAGCTCTTGGCCGTGTGTCTCGCCTTCGTGCCACCTTCCCCTGCCTTCCAGCCCGCGCTCACCAACTACGTTAATCGGCACCGGGACCCTGCCTTCGCGGACGCCTTCCCTGAGGTATAACATAAACTTTACACCACTAAACCTTACTGGTTTTAATTAAACTACTTCTTTGTTAATTGGATCTCTCTGCTTAGAGTGGGTATTTTGTTTTATGTAACTTAGAATGGCAAACAAGTGGGGGGAAAGGGATTGTTAGTAATGGAGACTGAGAATTGCTAGCAATATACCCAACCAGGTCGACCTCTTCGCGGTTCTCCCTGGAAACTATCATGGTTAATTCCTGATGAATTTATCATGATTAGCTAACTGGCCTGTTTTCATTCTCATCTATTACCCTTCACTGGTGCTCCGCCAGTGTATCCCGTTAGCGCAGGCGGGGTTACTATACCATTTTCATCCATAAAAAGAAAATGGCAAACAAGCTGCCGGCCGACCTGATGGAAAGTTGTAACCGTCACCTATAGACATGAGTAGTACCATGGACATAACAGAGTATACTGTTTCGCCCATGATACCCCCCATGCGTTGCCATTACTGTGGACTAAAGTGTTATGTCTCTGTACCCTGTAATTTCATTGCTATATCCTACTCTTCAAACCAAAACCGAAGCACAGCCATGCAAACACAACTGCTTCACAGTTGAAACATGAAAGAGACAGAGGTACCAAAGCAGACTATTTTTGTACAGTCTCTCTCTGGTATTTGTTTTTATTTTAGCATAAATACAGTAAAATGAAATTTATTTCTTTACAGCTAGAAAATCTGATTAATCATCAGAATCACTAGAGATTTATCTGAAAGTAGAAATGTTTGCAACTGTATAACTATTTTATCTAGTGGAAATTTACTTTATTAGGTTGGTAAATGGCCAATCCACGTTCAAGTATCACACTATGCTGGCGTCGCGTGCAAGCGGTTAGAAAGAATCGGCTTTGGCGGAAAAAGGCAACCACGGAAACCATCCACTGAAGACATAGACCAGGCCAGAGTTAGTATTTATTTTTTTTATTATTAGTGAATTGATAAAGTGACAGTGAAGAATAATCACAAAGTATCTTTAGGATCTCTCTAAGTTTATCTGTCTCCAAGCGTTACTGTTTATTATGTAAATTTAAGCAATAATTTTCAAATAATAACAAATCTGTATCTTGACGTCGATGGTCTGCACTGACACTTAAATTTATTACTAATCTTTATAAATTATTGTCCTACTATTAGGGATATGTCACCGTAAGAAAAGAATATTATTATAATGTTGCTTCACTGGTTACGTGGCTTTTATCATCATGGCCATCAAAGAATACATTGTTATTAATGTTTCTTTACAGATACAAATCTTCCGGCAATCAATGTTCGGCAACACGCTATCGGAGGTGATGGCCCTGCAGAAAGAGCGTTTTCCGCACCGGCAGCTACCGTGGGTACAGGTGGCGTTGTCACAGCAGGTGTTAGCCCTCAGCGGCCGCGAAACCGAGGGCATTTTCCGTGTATCCGCTGACGTGGACGAAGTTAATGCGCTTAAGGCCAAGATCGACAATTGGGAGTTGCCGGATGCTTCCACATTGACTGGTAATCACGCTCTTAGTGCCTTTACATGTTTCGGCTTTTTGTTATCTATTGGTGAAGTAGATTTTCACACATTCCATTTAAAAGCAGTTTAGTTGCTCATTAGGAATGTGTGAAAAGGATTATGACGGGTCAGGAGCGACAGAAAATTTAAAATATTGAACCAGTTAAGTCATTTAACTGTATTTATTAGCATGTATAAACATATTTAAACTTTAATTTTGAATTTTAATCTTTATGGATGTGAATGTGAATTTGTTAGTTATTTTCTGATGCTCTAACGTTTTAACCAGTAATCATAAAATTTGTTATGGATGAAATATTTGGATTGGAGGCTTTTTATACCAGTTAATCCATAGTTGACGTAGGAAAATATGTTGTTAGTGTGCTGTCTTTTAATAACTGGAATTTATGATCACTTGTTCTATCATTCTGTAATCACAAAGGTTATGTGAATAATCGTTGACATAATTCACGTTTATACATTAACAGATGCGCATGCGCCGGCGAGCTTGCTAAAGCTCTGGTACCGTGAGCTGTACGAGCCGCTTATACCGGACGCGCTCTACGGTGCCTGTGTGGCAGCTGGCACCGACTTCGCCGCCGCTACACGTGTCTTACAGCGTCTGCCGCCTCTCAACCGCCTTGTGAGTACCACTCTGTCACCTCACAACCCCACTACTATGTCATCCCGCTATCCCGCAATCTTACCAAGTCAATAAATACTCGATACAGAATACAAAATCGTCTTTGTGTTAAAAAAATGGCAAAAATAAAAAAAAATATATTAAAATTCTGTTTTAATTTAAAAAGAAACTACTGATTTTAATAATATTTTTACTGGACTAATTTGACGTTCTGGATATAAAAAACAAACATTTTTGGTCCAGGCATCTTCGAGTAATCGGGGAACATATATAAAAAAATTAAAGATCAGAGAGACAAATCGAGAACCTTCTTCTTCTTTGATGTTGGCTAAAAGCCTTTATTATACTAACAATGGTAGTCTTCCTCTCAAATTTTTTTTATTGTCTAATTAATCATCGTTAATGACGCAGTTGCTAAAGGCTTCTTAAAAGACTGCTGTTTATGATTACGTCGTATGTAATGTTGACCCGATTGTGTTTGTTCTTTGACGAGGAGAAGGTGCAGAGTTTTGTATTCTTTTGAAATCTCATTACCATTTTTTTCATTACAGGTACTCACATACCTGATCAGCTTCTTGCAGCAGTTTACCGCACCAGAAGTAGTAAGTCAAACCAAAATGGACTCCGCAAACTTGGCAATGGTGTTTGCGCCGAATTGCCTTCGTTGTACTTCGCAGGACCCGAGGGTCATACTAGAGAACGCGCGTAAGGAGATGACATTCCTGAAAACTCTTATCACCAACTTGGACACGTCTCATGTGCAAGATCTCCTGTGACCGATGAATCTCAGTTATTGCAATAACAACGTCGTTTCGGATGTGACGTACTGACTGCAGATGGCGATGGTATGCATTTAGGAGCGTTCATAATTTTAGTTTACAGAAGTTTGGCAACGCCGCATTTAACTGTGTTTTAAAACAATTTTAAATTTCAATGTTTCTGACTGATTATTTACAAAGTGTTCTGACTTCAAACTAAAATGCTAATTATAGTATATGTTACATATAAATCTACCACAAAAAACATTGCTCTCCACATTTTGTTTCGAAATTTTTCAAATACATTTTTGTCTTCAAAATCTATATTTTCTGTGACGAATATTATTGCATGACTGAAAGTTTAGTTCGCTAGTAGCGAACTTTTTAAATAATGAGTCAGAAACATTAAAAATTATTAAATTGCTTTTAAAATTGACAATTGCGACGTTGCTACACTTCCACAAGCTAAAGTCCTGAAATCTCTTGAATATTGTAATAGATTTGAAATAGCTAATTCGGAAGTGGTTGTTCGTTCGAGTTGCTCGCATCGAGTGACTCGTCGTTGGCGACTCACCCGCTGACTTCACAAATCGTTCACCACATCAATATTTGTAGATTTATAGTATATTATTATTATTATAGCTTCTGAAGGGCAGCTTGTGTGGTGAACGAGCAGAGTATCTCGATATCATTGTATAGAATGTGTATGTATACTGCGTTGAACCAAACATTTTTATGTCTAGTCTATATGATTTCTGTTGATTACTCTGTGCAGAATGTAGTGTTGGAGTGACGTGGTATACGGGCAAGTTTTTTGACTTCCCTCAAATTATATTCGACATTCTTGTATATTTTTTGTATTTTTGTATGCTATATAATAATTTTATTTGGTTGTATCCAAAGATATTTAATGAGATGTGATTTTAATTATATTAGACTTGAGCTTTACAAAAGTGTATGTGCAATGTGTTTCGAGCGGATTTGTTATTGAGACGATTGCATGTTTGTTATTAGTTACTACTATTGTTTAGTGCGCCGTTTCGACGCATTCGTTTAAGCGCAGATATTATTTTTCTAACTAACAAAATACTTAAAACGATCTCTGTCAGTGAACTATGATTTTATATAAAATGTGAGGTGTGGCAATATTGTAAGGAATGTTTTATAGCAATATAATGTGTTGGACATATAGTTTTATGAAACAATATTTTAAACGGGTAATACTGTCTATATAATTTCTCGTCACGCAAACGTGTATGTGATGAGCTAATTGCTGAGTTTCTGCATTATTTTTTTGACTGCAAGCCTTTGACGATACCTTTTCTTTGCGAACAAGAGGAATTGCAACTAAACAACTTTAGACATATATTTTTTTTAAAGTATTAGTAACTACTAAAGTAATAGTGATGAAAACTCAATGGATCACGAGGGTTAAAACAGTGAATTTATAAGAATTATATGATTAATCTCATATACCTACTTGAGTTTATAGATAGCCCGCGCAGAATATCGCTCGTAATATTATGACAGGTTATACGAAATGAATCGTATTACATTTCGCGTAGTCTTTTAAATATTCAGATTAAAAACAACCCTAAAACTGTTACTGTATTGTTATTGTGGGAGGAATTCTTTTGGATTCATTAAACAATAATGTTTTAGCATTATGTATTACTATCGGGTTCGTATTAAAAACATATATATTACGACAATTAATTACATTTTGAATAGTTTGTCGAGACAGATGTATACTTAGAATTTATTATCTAGGTGTGGAAACAATTATTGTAAGAAGTTGAGAAAGGCGGTTTTAAAGAATAAATAGCGAATTTTGTTTTATTAGGTTTTTTTTTAAACTACTTATACATTCTGTAGTTATTTGGAAATCATAGTTTGCTGATATCTAACTAGTAGTTGGTACCAATACGAAATATAATTTTAGTTAAGGAACAATCACAATTATTTTAAGTGTGACCATAGCAGAAAATCTTTAAAATAAAACGATATAAAAGTACTACAGTTCGCAGAAGATAATTATAATTATAAGCCTTTCTTATTTGGTCAATAATATGATGTCAATTTTAGATTTGTAAAAGGCGGAATTTCAATTTGTCAGTATTTTTAGTTCGTACTTTGGCACTTACTCGATACCTACATACTTTGTAACAGAAAGATATAAAACAGAGATATAAACAATACTATCTCATTTTACTTTAATTTCGGTAAATGAATCTCACTTCTCGTGATGATCGATCTGGATATGCTCGCCCATATTTAATTCCTATTTATTTAAGATACATTTTCATGGTAGATACCTTATTTAATGGGTATATAAATGAATTACATGCGATAGATAAAATTGAGATAACTGAAATAATGCAGCAGAATCATAAATACAACAAGTCAAATTATTAACTTGATTCATTTACATTTTCATTTCATGTTATTGACCATGTATGGACAGTTTTATTTTTTAATTATAAGTATAGTTGCATAAATATTTATAAAAATTTGATAATTTGGTTTGTTTTCTAGTAATGAATAAGTAAAATATAACAATAAGATGTTCTTTTAAATGATTTTTTTTTAAAGTATTTAAATTATCAAATTATTTAGCAAAGGCAAAAATTATTCATACATAAGTACGAAGTCTATTCCGGTATTTTATATAACATGCCAATTCGCGCGTGATTCTGCTGCCTTGATATCACACTTTGGTAGCTATAAGGCATTAGTCACTAAGTGAAATTATAAATTTTAAGCCATGCGATTCTTTAGAACTCTTATCTGAATCTGTGATGAAATCACCTTTTAGAATTTTATAATAACATGACAGCAAGTTTTATTCCACTTTTCAATAGTAGAAATGACGAAATGAAATATAATCATTTTTTGTTTAATAATTTAAGTTCAAAGATTATGGATTTAGATAATAAAGAAATTATTATTGGTTTTAATCGCAAAATAACACAGCAGGTTTAATAATGCAGTTTCAGTTTTATTTGATGACACGACGAGAGATTCAAAGTTTTAAGTGACGATTATATCGATTTGAGATTCGATATTGGAGATTTTAGAAAAAACAGTAATAGTCAGACAATAGCAGCAGGATGTAAATGTAGATAAAATTTGGAATTATCCGATTGTTTGATCAACTGAGAATTGTAGGATTAGAAAAATCTTTTATATCACACACCTCACGGATACAGTATATGTCTATTATGTTGTTGCTAGTATACTTTTTTAATATTCCGCATTTTCTTTTTCATTCTTCCCTTTAATGAAAATTTAATGCAATTTTACAACCATATATTAATTTAATAATACGTATAATGGATTAGTTTAGCTAGGGGAATAGAACAAACAAAGAAAATATATTTCCTATTTTTGAAATAAAGCGTTACCTAGCAACTGGTGTAGTACCTAATTCAAAAGGAGTAAAGCGGCCAGTTACAATTATTTATATTCAACAGTTTAATGGAATCTCTGAAGTCGATATTAATATAAATGACCATGATTATGAATTAATTTTTAAATATAAACTTACTCATATATAGGCTTTGATTTTACATAAACTTAATCATTGTAATATATATATCTAAGAGAATTCCTCGAAAATGATCAAATTAAGTATTATTAGTAATGAATTAATAGAAAGTGGACATTTTCAGACATAACATCACATAGTCTATTAGTAATAAATTCAATTTGCTGTAATATACCACTTTAATGTTTATCAAATTTAGTACTATTAGTAAAATATTACAATTTCATCACAATTTTCTATTATATATTTAGTTAATGGCAATAAAAAATAACTTCCATATGAATTGAACTTCACGTATTAATGCATTTACTTCAAATGTAAGGTAATCTAATGGTACCTAATTGGAGCTATAACTTTGTTATACCAATTTTGAACGTATAAAAACCTTAGTAAGAGTCGCAATGTTGCTATCGGTTCCTTTCTTTTAGATTTTCATTGATATTATATTATTCATATACCTATAAATCTCACTGTTAGTTAGATACGGTTGCCGCCCCTCATAAATTATTACGCGATTTAGTTTTGAATGCAATGAGAATTAAATATATATCGATTACTGTTAATATAATATATGGGGTGGTTTAAAAAAAAAGGTGGAAAAACCTTAGTTCAGCTGAAAAAGCGAAAAATTTTAAATGATTGATTTTGTATGGGAACCGCTTATTCGGATTAAATGGTGTTTTAGATAATACAAACTTCACCAGGGCATCGAGATTAAAATAATGGCTTATGTGTAAATTATGATAATTAAATTTGTTGTGATATTATTTGAGGTGATGATCACAAAAATTGACAGGAGATCGCGACGTCGACGTCACTACTAAGAAGGGTTTTTTAATGTTTACAGTTGAAGGAAACTCAGAGGAACTATTTGCCATTATACAACGTTAGTCGGAAAAGGTAGATCAACCAAGTATCCAGTGATTTTATATAATTAAACAATGAAATATACTGAAATATGATTATAAATGTATGAGTTTTTTGGTACCTCTTTTTATTATCATCGTTTGTTGTTCAAAATCGATTGCCGATTTTCAGTGTCTGCATAATTAAAAATTTAACTATTTTCACTAGATCACTAGATTTCGGGTTAGTTTAGCTCTTACGACTAACTGTATATTTGTTTTGAAAGACTTTGCATTATTTTTTTCTTTATATTTATAAGTATTACTCATTTTAACGAGTCTCAATAACATCTCATTTTATTGACCGTATTAATGCGACCAATCTCATAAGAAATATCACTATATCCATATTCCTAGATTACTCTAAATATATTTATTAATATATCATCGTTCCTGCAGTGACGGAATGCTGAAATTTTATTATTAAATGGAAATATAGGCATACTGATACGATGTGTATAAATAAAATTTACTTTTATCAGCATCTACGTAAAATAAAAAGTTAATAAAAATTCACGAAAAATAAAGTTACTATTATGATGTAGATTATGTAAGAAGCAGCTTTAAATTTCGACATGCTTGAAACGAGCTGAATGACAAATGATTATGGGTGAAATTATATGCAAATGAAATGGAATAAATATGTTTTAATGGATAATCGTATAATAATTCTTAGTAAGTAAAGCGATTTTTCAATTCAAAGTAATGTGTTGGAAGTTATGAAATGCATTAATTAAATTTTGTCTTTACGCATGATTTTAAAATATAATTCATGTAGGTATTTTTTATGGGTTCCTTTATAGAGACAGAGAAAAATGTAATAATAAACAAGGAAAGAGATATGGAAATGTGAAATATTAATGTAAAAGAGAGAGAGAGAAAGTGAAAGAGTAGGAGAGTGAGTGTGACAGTAGGAGAGTGCGAGAGTAGGAGAGAGAACGAGAGTTTGTTATATGCTGATGATTATCCCCATTTCTTTAGTTACGTAATTTTGTTTTGACAATGTCACGATAACAACAAACGGTAAACAACATGTAAACTTAGTCAACGAATGTCAGTGTATTGAAACTCCAAATAATATATTATATTATACATAGAAAACTATCCACTACTACATTTTTATAGACTTAAGAATTTAAATGCATTTATTGTCCATTCCACGCTGCTGGCGCTCGCAAACTAAATTTGAACTACTTAATCGTCTTTTAGTTTAATCAAATCAGAATTATAAGTAGATATGAGAGTTACGCTATTTGATCACATTTAGTACTTATCAAAAAAAAAAAATATGCCTACTTTTACCATTCAGTTTTAATATTAAACTAGTTGCTGACACAAATAAATAAGGACGAACTGATCATTTCTTCATCAAATTGTTAATGCATATATTAGATGGTGGGCGTAATTATACATTAAAAAAAAATATTTTCTTTTTTTGAATAATAGAGATATATGTTTTCTAATTATTCTAAGTACTCTTTGTGACTTTGATGACAAAATGTAATTCTGCTAAAAAAATCAAACACATTTAGATGGATGTAGTAGTAGTAGAGTTTGGTTGATTGAGAGCTTTAGGTTTTCAGCAGACTTCAAAAAGGAGGTGGCTTTCAATTCGACTATATTTTTATATATTTATGTTCGTCAATTTTTTATCTATTTGAAAGATACATTTTATTAGTCGAAATTTTCAACTACCGTATTTGTTTTGTCAGGATTGAAGTCTCAAAATGTTAAATGCGCACAAAAATATAGACCCTTCTTTTTAATGTCGGTTGTAAGTATGCAAATAGCCAAACTCTGTGTGATATATGAACTCGTATGAATATTGTAATGTTCCAACTATTTACATAATTAGGACTATTTATCAAACATCATTTTGATATCTAGTAATTCCGATACCTATTTCCGAATTCAGTACATTGTTACTATAGGCGTATAATCGTCATAATAAAATGTTATTAAGAAAATTATTTTACCGCCTCAATGTCACAAAATATAAAATGTATATTAAAATTTATTATTGTAATTATACTTATTTGGTTTATTGCCTTATATTCTATGTGTAATAATGGTTAATGCATACCATAATATGTATAATAGTCCAAAGTGCCGCTACTGCAAAGAAATAAAGTTATAAATTATATCTGAAATCAAGTTGCATTATTTTCCAATAATAGCCATTGATTTGTAGATTCATAATTGAAATTCGAGTGTACCTTAAATATTAATCTCTATATAATTCGTCTCGTCTTTTTATATGGTACCTCAGACGAACCGTAGGTATAGATACCACGATAACATGGCACGTCCCTCCAAAATCCAAAGAATTAAAAATGTGTGAGTAAAAGTATTCTCAGACGACTGCTATTGAAGACGATTACTCACAAACACAAACAGCACTATGTCTGTATAGGGTCACACATATTGCAGTAAAAAGATAGAGAGGCGTTCCATGGTCTATAGGTACTTTGATTCGATACAACTAATACTGAAGATTTGAAGATATTGATTTGGATATCATCCAAATTGTTTTGTATAAATATATAACGTAATAGCATTGTTGAGTATTTTTATCTCGTTCTAAATTAGAAAATTAGAAATAAAAAGTACAGCTATTTGCGCATGAAAGATTTTTTGAGCTTGTGCAGTGTCCACACGGGTTTTCTTTGATCTGTCAACATTGACATAAAACGCCGTATGCATTTGTACTCATAAATTCAAGTAACAATAATTTACATATACTTAAATAAGTAAATTTTGTTATATAAATGCTATAGCACAGGTGGTATTATGCTATAGATACTTATTAAATTTAAATTTAGGAATGAAGACTTGCGCTCTATCAATATACAGAAGGGCATAACAATGTGAAATCCAGCGATAGTATTATCATTTGAGACTCTGAATAACTTCCAAGTTGAGGTCGAAAGTTGACACAAAAGTGATATAGGTACTTAAAATATAGTTTTATCTGTGTCAAAAGAAAATAATATTGACTGGATTTCAGACTGTCATGCCCTTTTCGTTATACCTTGTATACTCACAGCATTATATTTTATTTGTATTACAGATATATACTTAATTGGGCAGAAAAAATGTAGCTTTTACTACAGTAACAAAATTTCTTTAAAAAAGAATCAAATAAGATTTGAGTGAGACTGAATAATATCTTCAAACAGTCCTTAAACCGAAATTTTATCTTAAACAGTTTAATGTGAATGTTACCGTTTTAATCGAACTAAATAAAGTGCCATAAAATATGTAAATTTATTTATAACAATTTTCTTAAGTTTCCGGTAGATATTAATCCTTTATTAGGTAAGCCAATTTATTTTAGGCTCCGGGTTTCGGAGCAATGGATGCAAATTTGCTAATAATGAATTCAAACTGCTCCATGCTCTCTATTCTTTAGTAATTTTAGACAACTACCTATATTTAATTGTGAATTAAGCGTTACAGAGCACAATTTATTTTTTGTATATTTTATTAGTTTTTTAAAAGAAAATGTATAGAATGCACCAATATTAATTTAAGCATCGCAATGGCTGCGAGATTTATACTATCGTGAAATGCTTATAATTCAAATTATGTAAAATTGTATAGTGCTTATAAATAAACAATTGCAACATTAAAATTACCTTTGTATATAACATGCCTATTTTTCTTTATTGTTCATGACAATATAACGCCTATGATGTTCATAATGTAGAATATCACTGTAAATGTGAACGTTCAGGTGAAATAAAAACGTTTATCCGGTGGATAATTGCGATTACCATAAAGTTTGTTTTATTTAAGCTGCGTATCCATTGGGGACGTACTTTTACGCGATTGTCTCTGCTTATGTATACACAGCTTTGTAATACCATCACGCTATTCCAATAACATAATTGAATGTATCATAATATAAAATTATCCTTTATGCCATCAAGATCAAAGCGACGATAAATTTTTGTGTGTTCAAATGGTCAAATAAATTTCTATCAGAAAGACAAAATTGTTACGAGCAAAATGAAAAAATTTTTGTCACTGTTTTCTCGAAATCGAAAATATAATAATGTGTTGGAAGCACTGTATATCACTAATCTTCTTATAAAGTTGACAGGATATCAAGTGATCGGATTAGATTACTCAAACTGTGACATTGAATCTGAGTTCTCATGTTTGGGATTATTATTCTTTTTTCTTTGGTCCATTTTATACACTTATTGCTTTTATAACGCACAAATCCAGGGTCAATCAGTTCTACGGTTGATGTTCAATTCGAAACTTAAACAGTACGGGGATATCTATGAGGTGGTTGCGACAGCATTGTATTTTCTTTATATGATACGGAAACTCTGTTTTGATTTGTTCGCCAGTCCTCGCTTTGCTAGAACAATTATTAATATTGACAAAATGGTGAGCGGTATAGGTATACATATAGATTATAATAAAGACCGTTGGCTCACAATTGGCTGTGTATTATTTGTAATAATTATTTGTATATTTCGATCAGTTTCTTTATGGTTTGTTTTAAATAATATAAACGTCACTGTACCCTACGAAAGGGCATTTCAAAGTATATATTCTGATAACTTGGCCCTCGTAATGTCTATATTTTATTGGTATCATTTATTTTTATTGCGAGAGAGATATACTCTATTGAACAAGGTGTTGATCGATATAAAGAATCGGAGTTCATGGGAACACATGATATTTATTCGACGTAAACCAGAGAATATGAATAGAGCTTCGCAACTTCAAGACAAATACATCTGTGATAAAATAAAGATCTGTGCAAAAACATGTAGCATGCTGTTTTCAGCTTCTGAAATAATAAACGAGTTGTTTGGTTTTGCTCTTTATTTTAGTTTGTTGATTTGTATGAATTTTATAATTATCTATATGTTTTATTTTATGGAAGCAACTGCATCTGGATTATTTCACGATACGAAAATATATTTAGATTTTTTAGTATACATATTTTGGCAGATTATGTACTCAACAGTGATTTTGTTTATTAATGTATATTGTGCTGAGAGTACAGTTTGTCAGGTTGGTGTATTTCGGTCAACTTTTAAGGTATAAAATATTTTAAAGATATTTTTTTTATGCAACTTAGAATTGTAAACATGCTGACGGCCCACCTGATGGAAAGTGGTAACCATCGTCTATAGACATGAGCAGTACCATGGACATAACAGAGTATATTGTTTCGCCCATGATACCCCTCATTCGTTGCCATTCCTGAGGACTCAGGTGTTTTTTTTATTGGATGAAAATGGAATGATAACCCCGCCTGCGCTAACGGGATACGCTGGCGGAGCACCAGTGAAGGGCGATAGATGAGAATGAAAACAGACCAGTTAGCCCATCATGATGAATTCATCGGGAATTATCCATGATAGTTTCCAGGGGGAACCGCGAGGAGATCGACCTGGTTGTATATTGCTAGCAATGGGATTCTTAGTCTCCATTACTAACAATCCCTTTCCCCCCGGACTCAGGTGTTATTCCTCTGTGCCCTGTAAATTCACGCCATATCCCACCCTTCAAATCGAAACATAGGCATGTAAATAAAATTGCTTCACCGTTGAAACACGAATGGGACAGAAGTACCCAAGCTTTTGTACAGTCTCTCTCTGATATTTTGATGACTTGATCAAACCAACGTAATGGCATTTATTGCTAGTTATTCAGATAAACTAAACCACATATAATATTTGCTTTTTTTTAAATAATAAATGAAATGTGTTCATTAGGAATGGTTAATGTTTGTATTGCAATTTTTTTTCAGGTCAAGAAAATGGCATTTATTGTACATGAAGTAATAAATAGTGATTTGAGTCCTGCGATCACGAAGGAGGTAGGGAATTTTTTTTAAATATAAAACCATTTAGCAGATATTCTATCCTTAGAAGTGGCACCATTTCATATCGGTACTCTTATTTAAATTTATTAACCGTCAATGATCCAAGTATATGGACAGGATTGTCCACGTATACTAATTATTAAATATTATATATATACAGTTTTTGAGTCCTTCAAACTTTAAAATCGTGCACAAAAGGGTGACATTTTATCTGGGAAGGATAAAATTTCTCTTTGCACTAGAGCCGATCTGGAGAAACGGTAAGCTGTGTAAATACGTAGTGCGGCTAAAATAAACAATGGCAAATGCTGAATGAAATGGGTCAGCAAATAATGGCGGGAAATATTTTGGATTGGCACTGATTGGCTACTGAGTCGGACGACAATTGAAAACTTTTACTCCAGAGCTATCAATCAAGTTTTTTTTACATAGAATTTTTAGTTCAGCATACCTTTAAGATCATTTAAATAAGGTACATTTTAACATTTTATCTATTTCATTATATGAGAATGTTCGAGAACCGATAAAAAAAAATTGAAGTGTAAAAATATAATTATAATTTCAATTGTATAAAATTCTATATTAGAAGCGATCAGAATTTGTTCTCTCCTAGCCGGTTTGTGTGAACGGACATATTTTTTTCTGTTTTGCGTGTACAAGTTCCTAAGGCAATCTCTTAATTTTTGGCTCAATATGTAATGAAAACGGATTAAGGTATGGTGGCCATATTATGTAACTTAATATATTTGCTTATTAATGTTTTTTTTATTAATAGGCGATGCTGTTATCGCAGCAACTGCTACATCAGTATCCAAAGTTTACAGCTTCAGGTTTTTACACGTTGGATTATGAGAACCTATATCAGGTACCTAATTATTTTCCTATTCATCTGTCCTATGCCTAGAAGTGGGTCTAGTACTCGCTTACAAGTTGTTTTCTATAGAATAAAGATTTTTAAAACCCGTAAAATTTTTTTGAGTTTATCCATTACAAAAATAATCTTTTTTATAATATAAAACAATTATTAAAAATATAACCATTATGAAATAAATAATAGATTAGGTATCAGTTTGTTGTATGTCGAATACCGTAGATGAGTTTGCTGGAAAAATCGTGCAACTATCAACTCATAATTATGTATCCTTGAATAATTTAATTTTCTTTTCAGAAAGCCTTAACCATAGTGACCTTTATACTGATGATATTGCAATTTGTTTCCGACTCGGAAAGAAAACATTACTAAAGTTTAGGTAATAAAACAAAATTATTCATTATTTCATTCTCTTTTAAAATTATGGCATTATGTCACTTTTGAATATCATTAACTTGATTATTAAATGTGTAGATTGTTTAAGTTGGAAAGGTATAGTCATTGCCAAAATGTGATGAAGTCAAAATACCTATATTTGACCAATGATTAAGGGACAATATAATGTATGGGTATCTCTGTATCAAGTGTCTTGGTAATGGTGGGTATTGCTGTAAAAGAATTTACAAAATCGGTTTAGAATTGGCGCCTATATATTGTGACATACATATAAGATACAGCAACCTTATTTTTGATGTCGTTTGTTTAGTTTAGTTTATTGATTATAGAGTTGTGTAATTTTCATGAGTAAATAATTATTATAGGTTGCACGAGCTGTGACCTAAAAATTGAAGGATATTCAGTTTTATGGATTCTGCACGTTATAATGTTTCTTTTCAAGATTTTTGAGGATCCAGATATTCAGAAGAATCTCATTTCAGTAGACTATATTTTATTCATAGGATTGCATAGTATCCCTGATTTAAATTACTAAAACAATTGTTAATTCTATAGTGTGTAATAATAGTGTTTAAGTAGTATAATCTAAGCCATTTTACATTGTATATAATAGTAAAGAAAAGAGGAAGAGGAAGACCGATGAATAACTACATGGGACAGATAAAGGAAACACTAGGTTTCATGTCGTATAGGGAGGTCAAGGATATGGCCTGGGATAGAACTGGCTGGAAGAAGATGCATGAATTAGTTGCACCGACAAGAGGAAACTCTTAAATGAAAAGAGAGAGATAATAGTAAAGACAAAGAAATAATAAAATTAGAAAATTGGACAAAAAATTACAGAATACCTAGGTAGGTATTCTGTAATTTATTGTCTAATTTTCTAAATATGTATTGAAGACACTGTAGCACATTGTTTTTTTATATTTCTCTTTTGCAATAATATATAATATACATCTGCGAAATGGGAATTATGTATTTGTAATTTAAAATATACTTTTATTAATTAATTAATTTAAATATTCTTTTCACATAATAATGATAATGTCTAAACGTCATGTATTGTTGAAAACTGAGATTATTGTCTTTTTTCTTAAATAAATGGTTATTACACATTAATAATTTATTTGATTAACGTTTCCCTACTCAACTATATATTAGATATAGAGTTATATCACATTCTGGATACTTTATACAAAAATATGTGGCAATATGTGCGTGTGTAGTTAGGAATAGGGCGGAAAAGCGCGCGCTTTGTTGTATTATATAATGTGGATTGAGTTGTGACCTTATCCGCTTCATATCTCGTAAATATTGTATCCTTTATCCTGTATTCTCGATATCGGAGATGGATAAGCGTATAGGTACTAGAGATATCCATTAGAATATGGTAGCTCAGGCGCATTTGATAGAGGGTGAAGTCAGATCGCAGTGGGCGGCACGGAATGTCCACGGAATGTAGTACTATTGTGGTTAAACTTAAAAATTCTGTTTACTCTGAAACACAGTGATAATATTCATAAAATGAGCAATATTCCCGATTTTTCCCGAATATTTTGTGTATGTATGTGTATTTTTTGGTCAAGAGGTAACAAAGTAACTTATTATATATATTATATAATATAATATTAGTAAGGACATATTATTATGCTCACTGCTATACTATCGAATGATAAAGAGCCCATTGTGGTGAACGGAACTCACCCATATTTTATTGAGCATATATATTTTGCTTTTTGAATTGTTAGATTCGTTTGTGCTATCGGTGTACACTGGCTGAGTACCAGTAATAGATAATGGTAATATTATTACTTTATATTTGTCGGGCATATCGCCATCTCAGAGAGTTATTAAGACATGTGCTTTTGGGTCGTTCAGCTCTTATCAATATTGAGTACTTGCACAGACACAACCTAGTAACCAAAACACTCCATAAAGAGTTAGTTCTCAAGTATACTGGTGAATGACAGGTTTCTGTATTATAAGTACGAGTCCTAGCCGGTCCTTGAAAACGGACATTGATTGGGAACTATCAAGGGAATTTTTGGTGGATGTCACCATGTTGCATGACGAGAATCTCGTAAAAGTCGAAACCGAGAAGAAAAGGAAATATCTGGACTTGGCTCACGATGTGACTGAAATGTGGGGGGTGACATCCGTTGCAATCATCCCAATCGTTCTGTCAGTGAATGGTGTTACCCAGTTTGGAACAATACCTCAGAGTGTTGGGATTCCAAGGCAGCTCAGTAGCGGAGAAGATACAGAAGGTGGTGCTCTTGGGCACTGCCCGAATAGTACGCCAGTGAGTCCTGGGAACCTTCTGGCCGGTTGTGCTTCTGCCGGAGGTTAATTTGCTATCTCTTCTCCTTAAGAGGGGAAATGTGAATTTTGTTTTTTATTACTTTTAAAACAGACTTTTGTTTATTGTTGTGTTATTATTTCAAGATCAAGATACTGAGATATTATAAATAGCGTTAAAGCCTTGCAATTTATAATGTTTTCATAAATATTTTACACACAATTATGCATAGACACTTAGGCAATTACCAGTTATAATTTTCATATCTCAAATTCACTACCGTATCAAATAATTTCATCTAATTGTATGAAAGTCCATTAAGAATATTAAATGTAAAGAGAATTAATATTGAAATACGAGCACAGTTTAATACTGACGACTTGTGTAACTGTAAAATTTAACCTTAGTTCTATGAAATAAAAATGGCAGTTAATAATAAATTTAGAAAATACTTTAAGAAATTCTTTAATAGTCAGAATATGGTAGAAGCCACAGCTGTAACGTTTTGGCTTTTAAAATTAATGGGCTACCAAGTATTAGGACTAATAAGCCCAACGAAAACAACAGTGGAATCGCGTTTTTCATACTTCGGCTTCTGCATGTACATTTTTTGGTATTCTCTGTACTTATATTGCTTTTATGTTGCTTACTACGAAGACCAAACCATTCTTCGTTTAATATTCAATACTAGGCTAAAGCAATATGGCGAATTGTATGAAAAGGCTGTTGCAATAGTATATGTTGTGTATTTGATGTGGAAATTACCCTTCAGCTTGCATAATGACCCACAGTATGCGCGGCAGATTCTTGAAATGGATGCAATATTAGAGAAATTAGGAGCCGGTGTGGATTATAATAAGCATGTATTGGTATCAATCACCGTCGGTGTGAGTCAATATACTATATACTATTTTCGATTATTAACAATATGGTTACTTTTGTATAATCTAGATATATCAGTACCATATGAGAAACTGTACCAAGGAGTATTTCCTGATACGTTGTCTTTTGTGATAACATCTTGCTACTGTTATTATTTATTGGCTCTGAGAGAGAGGCATACTGCTGTCAATAAGGTTCTTAAAGATATCAAGGAAAGAAAATACATAGTACATGTAATGGAGAAATCAGACGATTCTCATGAAGAGTTAGAAGAGCTATGTGAGAGAATTAGACTTTGCGCCAAAGTAAATAGCGTGATGTATGCAGGATCTGAAACAATCAACAAACATTACGGTTTTACGTTGTTCATAACGATGCTATCAAATATAAGTTATATAGTTCTTTACATGTTTTATTTTATGGAAGCAACTGCTGCTGGCTTATTTCTTGATATGAAAAAATACATCGCCTTTTTGGTGTATGTGTTTTGGCAGATTTCCTATGCAGTGGTTATTTTTATCTTGAATGTGTATTTCGCTGAAAGCACAGTCCGCGAGGTAATTGCATTCTTATTAATATAAGTGTGAAAGTTTGTAAATATGTTTGTTACTCAATCACACTTAAACTACGGAACGGGTTTTAATTGTAAAAATAAACGGATTAAAGGCAAGGGATTAAGGGATTGATTTTGTTGAAGTAGGTTTTATGTGTTATGTTAGTCTGTGGACTCACGCGTTGCTATTACCTTTTACTGTTACCTCAATCTAGATTAAATAAAATATAATATACTATATAGATTTCCCCCTTTATTTTAATTTCATCAGGTTATCAGCAAACCTAAAATAGTAAAATAATGCAAGCTCCAACTATAAGTAAGTTAATCGGCCAATCCAATTATGGATCGTGGGCATTCGCAATGCAAATGTTTTTGATTGACTTAGATTTGTGGGAGTGCGTTAATAATGAAGATTTTATACCGGATAACGCAGAGAAAAGCAAGATGGATGGTAAAGCAAGGTCAAAAATTTGTTTAATGATAGCTGAATATCTATATCCACTTGTGAAAAATGCTAAAACGGCAAGGGAGACCTGGCTTACTTTGAAGAAGGCATACGCTGATAGTGGTTTATTACGACGTCTCACGCTATTAAAGAAACTTTTCAATATGAAGTTGAATGACTTTTCGGGAATAGAGGCATACGTCAACGAAGTGCATCGTTTACCCAACAGGCGCTACAATATAAACCAGAAACTTGATGATTTCGTCGCTATAATTATGCTAGCAGGGTTACCAGATTCATACAATGGACTGGTGAACTAGAACATTCTGCTAGTTATTAACTACGGAAGCGGTTATCTCTTTTTAAAGAAGGACAGCAGAGCAGTAGAAGTCATCGGGCAACAATTTGGAGAACTCATGCTAGTGTCTAATAATAGCAAGTTCTAATAATCAAGTAGTAATCAACCTCGTAAAAAACAAATTATCTGTCATTTTTGTAAGAAAAAAGGTCATTTTAAATGGCAATGTAAAAAATTTATCAACAAATGTAACGTAGATAGTAACAAAGTAGGTTTAGTTACTGATATTGTTTGGGTAATAATGAGATATCCTTATTTTCAGCTAACAAATCTAGTAATATGTGGGTTGTCGATTCTGGTGCTACATCTCACATGACCTCAATTAAATCTCTCCTTGATTAAGAAACATATTTTAGGTTATAACAACTGCTGATGATCATAAAATAATTTCCGAAAGTCAAGGAAAGATCATTGCAAAATTGAATCATGAAAATCGTAACACTAATAGATTTTGAAAACGTTTTATGTGTACCCAATCTCGTTACTAATATATTTCGGTAAGCAAAATTTATAATTATACGGTAGTATTTGACAAAAATTACTGCACGTTTTATGATAATAATAATGTTTCCATATAGAAGTTCCTTTGATTCAAGCGAGTTTAAAGAAGGGGTTATATATTCTAGGACCTGAGCAAATAAAGACACGTAAGGATTGTGATATTTAAACATCATTTACTGCTGCAGATCGCAATTTTGTTAGTTTTGGTGAAGCTGATATAAATGATAATAATTTAGTATTGTGGCATAGGAGGTTAGGCCACCTGTCATATCCTCAAATGAAGATGCAACAAAAGATGGTAACAGGCTTATCTCTAAAGGGAAAACCATCAAAGCATTTTTGTGTACTTATTGTCAAGGAAGGGACAGAGAAAGAAGTTTAATAAAAGGAAACATAAGCAGCACGTGATATTTTAGTTTACATCTGATTTAATCGGTCCTCTTGATCCATCCTGGGGATGAGCGAAATATTGTCTAGTTCTAGTAGATGATTTTAGTAGAAAGGTATTCGGGTATCTGTTATCGTCTAAGACTGAAGTATTTTCTAAATTTTGTTCATTTGTTGCTTTTGTCGAGAATCAGACTGGTAAGAAAATAAAGCGACTTCGTAGCGACAATGGTACAGAATATACAAATAAAGAATTTCAAAATTATTTAGAACGTGGTATTAAACACGAGAGAACTGTACCTCACACACCAGAACAAAACGGTGTAGCGGAACGAACCAATAGGACGATAGTTGAAAAGGCTAGGTGCATGTTACATGATAATAATCTTGATCAGAGATTTTGGGGTGAAGCTTTGAATTGTGCTATATATTTAAAGAACAGATCACCCACTATGGCTCTTTAATAAAGTTCCTGAAGAAGTTTGGACAGGTAAGAAAGTAGATCTCTCTCATCTTAGAGTATTTGGATCATCTGCACAAGTTCTTATAAAAGATGGTAGTAGAAAGAAGATGGATTCAAAGACAGTAGAGATGACAATGATTGGATATAGTGAATGGGTTATAAATTCGTAAACTTGGCCAACACACAAAAATGTATAGTTGCTAAAATGATTGCGATTTTTAATGAAAAGATAACAGAGAGATATATAGGTCGAAAAATAATAATCCTTTTAAATTTGGTCCAATAACATCAGATGTAGTGGCGGTTCCAATGAAAGTAAAAGACTTCGAAATCTTGAGAATATAAATGTGCCTATTGATATTACGAAGATCACACAACAACTACACACAGAACCTGTTCGCCAAGATGTTTCAAGCACGACAGAGTGTGGATGAGGTATTATTTCTATTTGTACTGAACCAGGTGAAATTATGGTTGACTCTACAATCAGCTGTCTTTATAAATGATAAATGGTATAAACTAGTATCAAGATGAGAAGGTATCCATTAAGAGATAGACGTTTGATTAGAGATCCAGATATGGTCTATAACTTTTATATGTCTGATGGTGCTGACCCTGTGTCTGTACAAGATGCTGAACAACGTTCAGATAGAGAGCTGTGGCGAAAAGCCATGGAATTACAGTTCTTTGATAGCAAATCATACATGGGAACTAGTTGAGACCTAGAGATGCAAATGTTGTTAAATGTAAATGGGTTTTTAAACTTAAAAATACATGATGCTTCGATTCAACGTTACAAAGCGAGGCTAGTCGCAAAAGGTTTTTCGCTTATAAAGTGGGGTAAAGATTATTTTGAGACTTTTGCTCAGTAAAATTATCTTCTAAGACTATTGATAGCCTTGGCAGCTGAAATGGATCTAAAAATTCATCATATAGACGTAACAACGGCTTTTCTTCATGGAGATCTTAGTGAAATATATATATATGGAACAGCCAGAATCATTCGTTCAAAACCCTATTAAAGTATGTAAGTTAAAAAATATTTATGGATTAAAACAGGCTGTTTATGTTGGAATGAGAAGATTCATTCTTGCATTGTTGATATCGGTTTTGAAAGGTCTAAATATGATCCTTGCGTATAATAAAATACAAAATATTTATAGCGATAGGTCTTTATGTAGATGATCTATATTTTTGGAACTGATTTAAAACAAATACAATCAGTTAAAGACAAAATACGAAAATTTGTTAAAGATTTAGGAGACTAAAGACTGTCTATATATATGCGAATTACGGAAATCTGGATAAAGGTGAAATTATATATATCAAACACATTACACACAAAAGATTTTGAGTATTGGAATGCAGGATTAGTTCTGAAGACTTTGGAACTGATGTTGGAAAAATGTACCAACGATTGCCACTATCAAGAAATCATAGGTTCCTTAATGTATCTGTCATCAAGACCAGATATTAGTTTTGATAGTGAGCTACTTGTGTTCTTGTGCTGGATCATCACACATGTCTGCCGTAAAAAGACTATTAGAGGTATCTTAAGGGTACCATAGATGCTTACAACACTTTCAAGAAGAAGCAAAAGAGTTAGTTGCCACAGTGCTGACTGGGGTGCTAATGCTGATGGACATTCGTTTATTAATAATTTATGCAGGTGGGAATTTCATGTTTGTAAACAACGGTGTGTAGCACTATTTACTGCAGTATGAATACATTGATCTGTGAAGCAGCTAAAGACGTTATGTTTATTAAAGGTCTATATGGAGAGTTAACTGGTCATGTAATGTGTAACTATTTTTAGTGACAGTCAAAGTGCCAGATCATTAAAGACCCGGTAATTGGTAAACGGTCTAAAACATAAATATTAAGTTTCATTATGTTAGAGAGTTAGCCAAAGGTAAACATTAAAGTTGAATATTGCGATACAGGCTCTATGCCTGCTGATGTTCTGACTAAATCCCTTTGCTATTAAAACAGTTTTTGTGTAACGCATGGGTCCAGTAAAAAGGTGTTGAAGTAGGTTTTATGTGTTATGTTAGTCTTTACTCATCCATTGCTGAAGGTTACCTTTTACTGTTACTCTCAATCTAAAGTTAAATAAAATATAATATACTATATAGATTTCCCCCTTTATTTTAATTTCATCAGATTTATTCAATACTCAATATTAAAATAATAGTTACATTTACTATGTTTATATAATGCAGTGTAGGACGACCCCCCATTAGATGGAGTGACGACCTTAAATGCATTGCAATTAGTTGGTAGATACAGGTGATCAGTACCGTTCCTTATGGTAGTGTATGGGGGAGGCCTATGTACAGCAGTGGACGGGTAATGGCTGAGATAATGATGATGATGATTATGTTTATCGTCCAAAGCTGTTTGCTTTGTTAAAAGAGGATCGCAGGTACTATCTTGTTTATAACTAGGAAAGTTATTATTCGTTAAAATAAATATTTCTTTGATAAAAGTTGGAAAAAGTATTTTAACAAATTTGTAATTATTAATTATAATATATAATTTAATAATTACAAAACAAAAATGTATATTAATTATAATTTCAGGCTAAACGAACATCGTTTATTGTACACGAAATAGTGAACTGTGATTTTGGGCCAGCGGTTACAAAAGAGGTAACTGATTCAAATACCTAATTAGTACTATTTCTGCATACAGTTATTTTCCGAATTATCTATTCTACTGAAATTACAGAGTATAGAAGCATAACATAATCATAATTCTCAAGAATAGCAACGTATGAAGGATACCAAGCGTATTATAAAGTTATTTGTGTTGTTCACAATTCGTGCTTCATGTCTATAGGCGCTGGATACCGCTTTCCATTAGGTGGGCCATTAACTTGTTAAGTTATTGCCTAAGTTCCGTAAAAATTTACCGTTCCAATTTCACCAAATTTTAATAATAAACGTATAATTTAGGTGTTTTTCTTTTTAACAAAAATTGCAAATGCAGACTGTCTGCATTATAGCTTTCTGTTTTAGGCAATCCAGATGTCACAGCAGTTGTTTCATCTAGTCCCTAAATTCACTGCTTCTGGTCTTTACACGTTGGATTATACACTTTTACAAGAGGTTAGTAACGAAATTCAGTATTTCTCATTTAGGGAATCTATAAATTTATATGGTATGCAGTAGATATTAGAAGAAACACTAAAAGTAACAACATAAAAAATATCCTGCTAGAACTGACACTTGTATACACTAACAGTTTTTTTTATGGGTGACAATGAAATAGTAAGCCCTCCTAATTTATCGGTATATGCTGGCGAGACACTAGTTAGAGACAATAGGTGAGGATGAAGCATGTCAGTTTGTCCAATGTCACGAATTCGATAATAATTAATAAGTTCCATAAACTTTCATATTAGTTATCAATCTTTGGCTGCCATTTTGTTCGCACATGTTTTGTGAACGATTCGTAGTGTAGGTACCGATCAGTTAACACTAGGTTAAAAATTTGTCTGAATATTCCTCTTTAGGGATAAAACACGTGTCGTAGAACATGCCTGCTTGTGGAACTTCTGGTAGTAACAGTGGTAGTCCATCTTCGAGTGTTGGCAGTCATACACTTAGCAATAGTAGCGTTATTTCTACTAAGTTTTATTATTTTTATGGTAATACGATAGCTATTAATTTCTTTTTTACAGGGAGCCCGGTCTGTTTTAACATTTTTGGTGATTTTATTACAGTTTGTCACTGATTCAAAAAGTAATATCTAAGTGTTGTCATTTAATATACTTTGTTAAGCTAGGATGTAAAAGTGTTGAAAATTTATATTATTTATGTAGTGGAACGAGAACAATTTGGATCTAATTCTATAAGAACTTTCTCATATAGAAGGTTGAACTGTGTTACGAAATGTCTAGATTTTAAAGATTTACACACAAAAAAATGTTAGGCGCTTAAAATATTATCTTTTAATGCTAAATAGCGTCTTGATAATAAAAAATAGTTACTGAATAAATTTTGCTCCTATATCACATAAGACATACTTAATAATTTTTAATTTCTTAAAGTATATTACGTATGTTGTTAATTACGAGTATGTAATATAAACATATTAAGTATGTATGTACTTAAGTGTTTTTGAGTATATTTGAGTGGTTCCCCACCCCGGTGAAATGGTGGTCGTAAAGAAAAAAAAACCCATCTTTATTAATTAATTAGTGTAAACAGTAATTAGGTATGATAAAATATATAGAATTTAATTGTTAAGTTTTAGTGAACAGCTATACACATTTTGCTGGACTGCCCAAAGAATAATTGTATAATGGCCCTGGTAATGCAGGCGTTCAAAGGTTACGGTAACCGCTTACCATCAGGTAGATCACATGCTTGTTTTTTACCTTATATACTTGTATCTTAAAACTTCTACACTGTCTGCAAAAATTATAATACTTTAGATATTTCTAATAATCAAAACACTATTTAAAAAATGAGGTTATTATTATGGAAATATTAGAAATATAAAAGCTTTCAAATATTCCTTTACATATGTAATAAAATATTATGTAAGACTGTACTGTTTATTTGTCCCGTGATACTGATATACTAGTATGTAGCTTCTATGAATATAATTGCATATTAATATGTCATTAAGGTATAATAAAATACGAAATATTTATAATTATGCCCTCATTAGTTACATCTACTATTGTTAACCTATTGAACTAGGCGGTGATTAAGTAGTACATTAGCACTACGATTAATTTGTTTATTTTATTATACTATAATACTAACTCATATATATATAGTGGATATGAGTATGGGTTTATATAATATAAAACACAGTTAGATATAAAAGTATTTTGATTGTATTAAAATTAGTTAAAAGTATTTAACTATGTTAGAAGCAATGTAAACGATCCACTATTAAATGGACCGATGTGTGGAAAAGAATGCGGATAGTGGACTGTGTATTTGGCGCTGTATATTAATAAAAATACCAAATAATGCCAGAGAGTGTACATTCGTTGCTTACAACACATTAGAAGAGAGTAAAAGAGATCGTGCCACAGTGCTTTCACAGATTGAAGAAAAATATATAAACATTGTTTATTAATAAAATGTTGGGGTTGCCAAAACGATAGTTTCAAATGTTTTGTTAGAATAGTTATATGTATTTATACAGTATAGATATTATAGCATATGTCTGTATGTTCAGCAATATAGACCTGTCCCACAGTCATAAGGATAGGAGTGAAGGAGTAATGGTATTAACGGCATTCATTTAGGAACTGCCCTATCACGTAAAGACACAGATACATTTGTTAAACTTATAAATTCTTATTTGTTTGAGGCGGCATTTAAAATGAGAGTTGGTATTGGAAAAATTACGTTTCCGTCTAAAAATTTTCAATAAAAATTTTACTGCTAAGATGAAGTTAATGTAATAAAAAGGTATGAAGTACAACAAAATGATTTTCTTTACTTATCCATATGTCCTGAAGGTTGCATTGTTATATTATCACCATGCTCTCACTGACCCCGAGTCACTGATACTGACACTAAGTTTACCTACACTTCAATTGTCGACTTTAAAAGACTCGAGCGAACAAACTATAATTACACCGCCGCGTATACGCTAACGCAATAGTTGCCTTAAATTTATATTGTTTTAATTATAGTCACAGACGTTTGTATATGTTAAAATGCTGTTGTATTTGATTGCTGGAGTATTGTTGGCGTGGACGGTGGCGTACAAGTATAGAAGACGGAATATGTACAAATTAGCTTCAAGGATCCCGGCGCCCACAAACGAGTGGCCTATGATAGGTGTAGCGCACACGCTGTCTGGAAGCACCGAGGGTAAGTATTTAAAACTAGCTGTATACCACTGTTTTATCCACGTGAATTAGGATGAAAGTATTGTACGTTTTAATCCAGAATAAAATCCTTCCTGTATCAAACTTCTTTGAAATCACTAAGAAACTATCTTATGTGTTAAGTTAGGATATCATTTACAGGTGAACCAAATTTGGTTCAAATCTGTTGAGCCATTTAAGCGTGATCGAGAAACAAATATAACATATAAACATATTTATAAACTTGAACATTTATAATATTGGTAGGATATGCTTATAAATAAGACTCGCTAGCTATATAACTAATATTACTTGACGTTATAACCTAAATAAATTCAATTCGTAAAAAGATTTTGTTTCACAAAAAAAAAAAACACCACATCAATCGTGGCACAACTGAATGATGAAAAAGGCATAACCATAACTATGAATCAGTTATTTTGAATTAAAAGTTAAGCTACTGAAACGGTTTTCATGAGATTTCTGAGGAACGTATTCTTTCAAATAAGAAAAAAAAAATTCAAATTGGTTTATTAATGACCTAGTTATGAGGTAACAAAATAAAACCGAATTTAGAAGCTGCTTTTTTCGGAAGTCTATAAAAATAAAAAAGGATCTAGGTGATTCGTAAAATCTTATAGTACATAACAATTTATACAATGAAATATTAAGGTGTAGCTATCTCATGATTTGAATTAATTAAAAAATAAATAAAACAATCCGATTTTTAAGTTTGGCTTTACAGTAACAGTTACTAGGTTATATTTTATAACACAACATCGCTTTTCATGAGAGACATCTACAGTGAGTAGATTTTTGTTTATTTGTTTGTATATTTGAAACTGCATTACGTAAAAATGACTACACCAAATTCAAAAGTCATTTGTATGGAAGGGTTATTTAGTTTACTTTTGAACCCACGCGTACAAAGCTTGACCAGAACCGATATTGGTAAATTATGTTTTGACGTTTAATATTAGAGCATAAAGTCAAGTGACAAAAAGTGTGGTTTCCTATGATCTATATGATTTCATTCAGTCCGTTTTTAACAGTCACACTGTTATATCTAGTATTCATAATGACTTTGCTAGTCTTTTTGCGACGCTTGGCAGGCAAGTTCATAAGGCGCAATTAGGCTTTTAGAGATATTTTAAGAAATAATTAAGTTCTCATACACACACACACACACAAAAAAATGGTTTTTCTATGTCGGAACTAAAGTACCATTAATTTTTAAAACTATTTTATATACAGAATCGTCAAATTAATAGTTGAAGTCTTTATTTTTTTCGATTTTATTAATGCAATTGGTTCCTAATAAAATTTAAATTGATTTTTTTTATTATTATATATGTAATTATAATGGCGTTTTACGTTAAAATTGGTAGCAGTTCAGGAGAACCAGATTCTCCATTTTTATTTGTTTACATCTTGAATAGGCAATTTGGTGTGTAATCATGGGAAATGGTAACCACTTGAAACAATAAATTATGGACATTACGAGACGAAGATGTATGCAAATGTTCCAGTAATTTCGACTGTCATATCTCTATCCTTCAAATAAAATAGCACAAATATGCAAGTATAAGGTAGCAGTAGAAATATTATGGTAATTAAATTTTTATAAAAATAAATATAGGTGAATGAAGATGATCTTTAAAACCTTCTTGCTGCATACATACGCACCTATTATATATATTGAATTATGACTTTATCTGATATTAAAAAACATGGAAACTTTTTTAATCGTAAACTTGTGGCGAAGCGAGCTTACAGATTTTTTTAAATGATCATTTACTTTTAATGCTCACTATATATTGTTTACCTCTGATAAGGGTGTTTGACTAAAAATACAAAGTTTGTAAAAAAAATCTATTGTTGGTGCAATTTGCTGTGATTCCATACGTATTTATTGAGCTGAAGCTTAAAGATCTCTCCCATATATTACAAATATCAAATATTAATTAAGGAATTTTAATAAGGGATACAAATGATTATGGTCATATCAGTTTATTCTTTGAACATAATAAATTACCATAAGGATTGTCCTACGCCACTTGCATGCATTAACTCCTTGCAGTGCAAAGTCGTCACTCCATCTATTAGGAGGTCGTCCTGTACTGTTTCTGATCATACTACAGATCGTTATTCAAGTACCTTTCTTCCTTATTGGTTTTCTTCCTTATTGGCAAGTCTTGTTATTATAATTCATTTGTAACTACACGATTACACCAAATTGGATGTGATTTTCACTATTGTGTTTCTGAAGTTTTAACTTTAAAAATGATCTATAAAATCTAAAAAAATAAATTAGGTAAAGAATAAATTCATTTATTTTCTATGTCCGAAATCGCTGGTATTTTTATTGAAATAGGTAATGAAAAATTTTAGTTACAAGTATAATTTAATGGCGATTTAAAATATCAGTTCTAACAATCAATAAAACTAATTCTTCGAAGTTTTTATTCTAAGTACAAGAAAGCTGGGATTAAGGCAGGAATACCTCGTGATAAAACAATAAATTATTTACATTTCAGATATAATGGCATCGTTGCAAAAGTTTAGTTACGAGGCTATGGAAAATGATGGAATAGTAAGAGTCTGGTTAGGGCACATACTTTACTTTGGTAAGTTTACTCGTTGTTATAAATAAAATAGATTTAATAAATGTAACTTTAACAACCTAAGGCAGAATATTGGGGGTATACATATGTAAAATTAAATGTAATTACAATATTATCTAAAGTTGGACAAAGCAGAAGAAGAAATTATTATAAAATGATCACTAACATAGCTTATAACATAGATAAGAAGTCAAATATTAAGTAAATAAGTAATATTAATTTGATTTTGTGTCCGATAATTGTAATGAAACTGCATTAAATTATAAATAAACAATTAAAAAATATCTTAAAATATTATGCAAGTATTTTAGGGAGATA